ATTTTGTTCATTTGTCTCCGACTTATTGTGGTCCCAATAATATCTTTTCACTTGCTCATCCGGGTTGACGACCAGGATCCTGTAACTCTGAACTTTCGGGGAACAGCTGCTGAAATAGGAATACTTTGTTAAAAACAAATAATCATCAGCATCATCAACAGCCTATAAGTGGCCACTGCTGACCAAAGGCCTCTTCCCGCACGGAGAAGGTTTGAGCATTAGGTAGTCACCACGCTTGCTCAATGCCGGTTAGCGATTTCGACTCCGTTTTATTACTGAACATAACATAACTTTTATTCTCGAAGGGCTAGGCAGAGGTGCACATTACGGCATTTAATGCCGCAATAACTGAGCCATTTAAAAAAAAAACATGTTTCGATTTCAAAACTATTCTATGATATACACAAATACATTTGTTTCGTATCTAGGTGCAATGTGTCTGAATTTGAATATCTCCACTTACGACCTAGGAGAAAATACCAAAGAAACTAGGCAACGTTTCTGTTTTAAAAAATAAACAAAGAAAATATGTAAAGTTAATATTAAGTTACTCACATAAATAGAATACAGATTACAACGATGGTGTTGAAAATAAGTTTATTTGAAGACATTTTGCTGTTTCCTAATCGAGGCTTATATCCTTATTGTTGGAAATTAAGAGTTCTCCGCTATTTATACTCGTCTGTCCTATATAAATGCTAATCTCCAATGATCGATTCATTATTATTTATTAAAAATTAATGTTAGATAATTCGTTCGTCACTCCCGATTCCCAAATATATTAATACTTATTTGGTCACTCGACTTTGACTGTCAGAAAACAGGTATTAAAATGACATTGTGGTTTTCACAGACGTACTGATCAGACTTTGATTTCTAACTGCACAACTTGATTCGCCTTAGTCCTTTCCATCACCGTACCACAAGACAATCGGCGAAGCGTCACCGATTCATGGTATATGTCCCACCACGCACCAAGCGCTTCGCATCAAGCTCTCTTGTGCGTACTGCTAAGGAGTGGAATTCTTTGCTAGTCAGTGTTTCCTGAAGTCTTCAAGGCCCGTGTAAATAGGTTGCTTATGGGACGACGTGCTCCATCGTAGACCGCATCATCGTTTACCACAAGGCGAGATAGTGGTCAAACGTCAGCCTATCAAATATAAAAAAAAAACTTTAACAGCTACCAGAGATATTTCTAAAATCTTCTAAACGAAAATAAAGAGCATTTAAAACCCCCCAAACCTACTAATTTCCACATCCATCCTTATAGCTTTTTTTTTAAGGGGGGAAAATCATCGAATGACTTCTCCCGCCTAGGTGAGGCGGGAGGGAGTGTCAGACTCTTACTGACTAAAAACCACCTCGTTCCTTCTCCTGCACGTCGAGCCGGAGCCTCGGTTACCCGTTAGGTTCTCCGCGACTATGGGTTGGAACACTTTTTTTTTAAGGGTAAAATGATCCAATGGCTTCTCCCGCCCACCGTTACGGTGCTTGCAGAATGTGCTAGGACCTTTATACATTAACAACGTCTTTAAGATATGAAAAATAATGATAATACTTCATCTCTATCACTACACAGTTAAAGAAACTCGCTTTCCGCTGTCTGTTTATATGTGTGGTGAAAATATTTAAAACTACGCGATGAATTTTGATGCGATTTTTTCGAATAGATAAAGTAATGGAAGGGTAAGATTTTATTGTATAAGTACTCCGAATTTAACGTGTATGAAGCCGCGGGCAAAAGATAGTACATTATAATAATATCATTAAGGCGAATGAAATAGGTTTCATATTAACTAAAAATCGCGGGTTACTCGCGTAAATATATAGCTCATATCATAATGATGTAACTTAATGCCCACTAAATTGTGAATTAGGTACCTATTAAGGTTTTAATGAATAATTTTGTATGGAACTTATGGCACCGACTTCTTACCTATCAGTGGGTGGGTAACCTATCAATACTAATAATAGTTATTTTTTGCTTTTTAGTTTTGAATTTTTGTTTGTTATTTGTTTTTGGTTTTTTGAAGTCGGTTTTTTAAACGCAGTTTTTATTTTAAATTTATTATTTATCTTTATATCATAAGGTAAGTATTTTATAATCTAAGCCCCACAAAACTGGTGCAATGGTTTGACTGTGGGGTCGAGTTTTACTCACGGTCGTGGTGGCCCGGAGTTTTAAGATGCCCGCTTCTCAAGCATGAGGGTGCAGATTCGAAACCTACCAACGGCCAGTACCAATGTGACTTTTTCAGAGTTATATGTACTTTCTAAGATTATCTAGACACCACTGACAAACGGTGAAGGAAAACATCGTGAGGAAACCTGGGCTTATAATTTCTAATTATAAGTTTGTAATCGCCAACTCACATTGAGCAAGCGTGGTGATTAATACTCAAACCTTCTCCGTGTGAGAAGAGGCTTTGTTCAGCAGTGGGCATTTATAGGCTGTTGATGATGATGTGCAGTGAGGTCGCGGCATTGTCGCGTAGCCTGCAGTCGCAGAATAGGCTGCTCATGAGGAAGAGCCCCTTAGTGCCTCGAAACTAGTAGAGCTTTTCTCAGTAGTTATATTAAGTTAATTCCAATTTTGGTCTACTGTGCATGTATGTATTACTAGTTATAATAAAGTATGTAGATTAATACTAAATAAATAATTAACAAACACTAATTACTAAGCAAATTTAACTAATATCCAATTTGCGGGAAAAAGAAACAATCTTCAATAATCACTATTTATAATATGTATATAAATAAAACTTAAATTCTTATCAACATTAATCACACTGATGCATACACCACCTTTTTTTTTTTTGATGACGGGGGGAAACCTTCAAAAGGCGCCCAGCCTTTTTGGGGATAAAAGACTAGGGAGTGTGGGATTTTTACCTCACTAAAACCACCCCGGTGGCCACCCTCAACACCTGAATGGAGGCACCGGGTCCTCTAAAAGAGACCTGCTCCGGCGCCTCCACTGTGCAACGCCTGTTACGACACATCCCTAGGGAGACGGGTGTCTCCTTTAAGCCTTGCTGTGTACGGCGGCATGTGACCACTGTGCCACCGTCTTCCCTGAGACCACAGGGTGGGCACCTAGAGTCCCCACTCTACGCACCCGTGGCCCCAATACACCACCTTACACTACACTTTACACACAAATAAATAAAATAATAAAGTTATAAAAATATATATGTACATAATATTATTATTTTTATCTAAGTTCATTGTTTTAGTGGTTTAACTATACTTAAGTGAATTCATTCTGTGCGGGTAATTCATAAAAAGTTTGATATTGTGTACAGTATGTTTTTATTAGGTACCCTCCTGTCTCTTAAGGTTGTTTTGTTGTATTGTCATACTCGTGCATTAGATATCAATGGTATTATAAAACATTACAAACTATAAATTGTAAATAATATATTGTATCAATTGGAAGGAACTAACATCTAAGGTACAGGCTCGGCCTAGTTTAGATGTTAGTATTCATAAACTGTGTGTCTAAGGTTTTTGTTACAATAAACACTTTTTATTTTTTTTATTTATTATATTCACGTGAGTAACCTGTTTTTTTGTTGACGGGGGGAAACCTTCAAAAGGCGCCTAGCTTTTTGGGGAAAAAGAATGAGGAGTGTGGGATTTTCACCTCAGTAAAACCTCCCAGCCAGGCATGCAGGCCGCACCTGAAGGAGGCACCGGATCCTCTAAGTAGTTCCGTGAGTAACCTGTGATTTTTAGTTAATTTTGTATGTCTCACGATAGTTATTGGTTAGATAAGTTTAAAAATGGGCCCAATGTTCACACAAAAGTGCCCATTTTCCTTTGTAGAGGTGAGATTCAACGGGAATTATCACTCCACTCCACTCCACCACACTCACTGACTCCACCGTCCGGTGAAAACCGAAGATAATATGAAGAATATGAAAAATATGAAGGAAAGATTCAAGAACAGCGTCGAGGTATTATCACATACTAAATTATATTCGAAACTTTAACCTGTAAACTGTAACTACTATAATTATTGTCGGTGAACCCTCAGTCGAATTTATTGTGTTTGCCATTTAGGTGTACTGATGGAATCCCTATCCATTTATCCATATCCCTACTAACATTATACAAATCAAATTTATGCCAAAACAAATGAGTCTTTAATATGATTATGCCAACAATCGTCTTTATGACTAATGAATAGGGAACCTATCAGTTAAATAATATACAATCAAACTATCAGTTAAATGGTATAAAATGTGTGCCTTAAAAAATATACTTACCCAAGTATTATGCCAAAATCGTTATGCCAAAGTATATTACGACAAAGAACATTATGCAAAAATAATGGATAGCTTACTGATGGACTCACAATCGAGTAACTCATATATCGATCTCGTGATTTGGAAGTCGTATGGGACTTTAGACAACTTGGTTACAATACAAGGGTTGCCCACTTTTCCTGCCACTTCAATGAGCTAATACTTTAAAGTTACTTTAGTTTTGTATGCTTCTTTCTTGGATTTTGCATTATTGTAATGCATAGATTTCGACTTAGGAAAGAACGAAAGGCCAGTGTTTTAAGGTTCTTTCTTTCTAAAGACAGAAGGTTTAGTTAACTAGGTTATGTTGGCTTTTCTACGTCATGGTTATCAATGATTTTGTCAAAATAGGTAGGTATTTTTGTATTTGTTAGTATATAATTATCTAGTATTGTTTGTTTTTATAACAATTTGATCCAATAGGTACCAAATAAAATAGATAAATATTAATTTAAGACTCATTTATTTAATTAGTTATCACATACAATTATTTTTTACATCCGAAGATATCTAAAACAATCATTTATAATTGTTATTTACATACATAAACATATTATTTTAATGTCTTTTGCTATTAAAGCTCAGATTTATTATTTATAACCTCAAATCAAGTTGAAGCTGTTCGAACAATTTTATTTCCCGCCAATTTAAAATCATAGATGGCGGAGAGCTGTCAAAAACTCTAATAGCGAAAGTATTTTTTTAATTTGCTTTTTTAAATAAGAAGTGGTCCACGAAATCCATTGTTGCTGGCTGCCATTGGTCTAGTAAGTATTTCGTCGATTATTCATGCTTAGTGCTTCTTGTGGGACCTGAGAAAAATAAAATAAAATTAATGTCACTGTTTTGTAAGCTTATTTAATTTATTGAATATTAAAATTAATATATTTACTTGAATTTGGGTGAGAAACGCCTCCTCCTGACTTCGTTGTTTTCGGGGGCGGCCTGGAAAAAGACAAACAATTAGATTTTTTAACCTCAAAAGTTTGGATTAGGGTTTTAATAGTTTAAAAATACTAAAATGGGACACATACAATGGTGCGATGGGATATCAGCAATGATTTTACTTTTGGTCTTAAATTATTAGGCTTTCTGTAATATTCACCTCAACTGCGGCAGATTTAGGGGGTCCGTACTCCCTAAAGCCGGGGGGTCCGTATTCGAGGAAACCTTCAGGGGCCTGTTGCAGGGATCTGTAAGCAAATGTAGTTTGATTTATTGAAATTTGTCGTCCTGATTTTACTAGAAGCTTAAATGTCGATTTTTGTTAAAAAGATAACCTTACAATTACGTTTATTTTTTAATGACATTGAGCTTAAATATGATTAAAAAAACAAGTGAAAGAAATGCTTACCCTGAAACCTCCTGCTTGATTTCTACAGCAGATTCAACAGCCTACAAGAGAAAACATTTAATTAATTTATAATATTCCTTATCATTTACTACAAGTTAAACAAGAGTATTTCATATCAAAATTACCTCAGCAGCTTTAGCCTCAGTCTCAAGCTTGACAATAGCTTCAGCGATGTTGTTAACACCTTCAGCAACTTTCTCAACAACCACTTGTTCAACAACAGCGGTGGGCACAGCCTCGTCGACTACCACAGTAGGTATAACCTCCTCAGCTACTACCTCTTCTTGGACAGCGGCAGTTGGTTCCACAATTTCAGCTAGAGCTGCTTCCGTGGCTTCAACAGCTTGGGCAGCTTCGGTTTGCTCAACAACTTCAGCTACAGCCTCCAAAGTAGGCTGGACTTCGGCAATGACTTCAGCTTGTTCAATTTTCTCGGCCACAGCTTCAGCAGTTGATGCTACTTCTTCTACGATGGCGGCAGATTCTGTGTTAACTGTAAAATAGTTTTGAGTTTGTTTACTTTGGTAATTGATAGATAATATTGCTCTATCGTTTATATTGTATATGTAGTGTTATAGAAATAGATGTTTGCTGTCTCTTAATCGTGCCTTTACGTTTCTTTGATGGTTGCTAGGCGATAATGGAAAGAGGTACATAATGCTCCGAATCTAAGCAACTTCTTAAAATGCGAGAAGCTATTTCTTATTTAAGTAGTCATGTTGTTCAGTTTACTTTTTATCGACTTTATTTTGTTTCGTTTCTAACGCAAGTTCTACTTACATTTTTGGTTTTGGACTTTTACATCTACTGATAAACTAATCTTTACCTTCGACGGCAACGGTTTCACCAGCTCCTGCCTGCAGTTCCTGGGTAGCCAGAGATTGTACAAAGAAGGTCTGTTGGGTAGCCTCATCAGGAAGACCTTGGTTCACGCTGTACTGGACCACGGCTTCGACTTTCGGGGGTCCATATTCCCTGAGAGCATCTGAAGCGGAGGCCTCGGTTTCTTGGAGAAGGTTTTCCTTCACTGGACCTTCTGATGGCTTCTGTAAAAGTGGGATTATGATTTTAAAGGAAAGAGATGAATTTGACGGCAAACATTTATTTTGTTAATAAAAGAACTAAATTTTAGAAAAAAACTGAGGAGTGCTTTTTATTTTCATTTAGTAGTTTTTAATTACTTATACTGATATTCAAATACAATTAAAAGAGAATCCATATTGAAAAGCTTGTAATAATATGACACTTACCGCGACTTCCGAAGGTAGATAGAAGCTGGGACCAGAAGGCCTCCATCCACTAGGTAGGTAGGGTCCAGAGCCCAAAGCTGATACGGAGCCGATGGCGAAAATAATAGCAACGATGACCTGAATGAAGAAATAGAAGATGAAATGAAATATTACACAATTGAACTATGGAATGCAATTAATTGTGATGGTAAATTAAGTAGGTTAGTAGAAATAATTGAATGCAAATCGCTTTCAAGTTGCCGACCGGGAAATTGGATATTATTAGGAGGTCTATCATTAGCATTGGACGTCTTATAGCTGACGTGATGCTGAAGAACATCAAATTAATTTATTTTAAGTAATTGCGTTAAGAATTGAATAACTTAGTTATGCTAAGACAAACAAGCTATAGATGGAACTGAACCGAGATGAATATTTAAGTTATTGATAGACAACAAAATCACTTGATTAAAATAACAAATTCAGAGAATATAATAAGAGCGGAACGACTTGAAAAAATATTGAAAAGGAAGAATTTAATATAATATTAAAGGGATTTTTACCTTCATGTTGTATGAGATCTAAAGAACTGATTCTTCGAATGATGCTCCTTGCTCAGTCAACCGAGTTTTTATACGAAAATAAACCAAACAATAGTCCAAAAAGCCTTGATCAATATTTAGTCCAAATATTTACTGAACACCGTTTAATTGAGTTATGGTTGTGCAATTTTTAATGTGGATTAATTGTCCGAATTAACTGATGAAGGTCAAGATTTTGTTGTCTAAGTAGGGTAGGTAGAATGGTAGTTTTGATTGGTTATTTCAATAGATCACTTGGTGAAGACTAAAGGGGTTTTTCGTTGGTGATTTGAATTAGTGTAAGTAAGCTAGGTAAGTACAGTAATAGTGTTCTAATTGTTTTTAATCTTGTTAGTGTAACTGTTCGAAGAATTTGCATGCAACTTTAATACTATTGTGCGATATATAAAATAGAATGAGGCGTTACTTTACGGAATTCCATATTTCACTAACAAGGAATGGATGTGTAGCATGCAGAGACACACGCTGTACGCTTTTTAAATCAGTATTTTTTTCTGCCTCATTGGGTGAGTGTTGGCTAGTGCGACTGCCGGGCAAGGGGTCTCGATTCCCAAGTCGGGTAAAGTATTACTGGGTTTTTCTCAGAGGTGAGTCTGGAACTGTGCCCGGTATATGGCAACAGGCTTACCCCCTATTACATGGGACTCATAACATAAATAGCGAAAAGTGGGTGTTACACTGTACAGTGGCATTAAGTGACAGTGCCGTAATGTGCACCTCTGCCTACCCTTTTGTGGATAAAGGGTGTGATGTTATGTTATTTTTTTTTCTTTTCTTCTAGCTGTTTTACACATTGTGTTAACCGAATTTGACTGAATTTCCGTTGTTTAAATTGGATTCGTTGTTTTATTTGTTAATGATAGATTATAAAGACTTATATACTAAATGTTGTTTGTGTCAACTGGGATACGACAGCTATTTTTACGTGCATAAGTTTTGAGACTAGATCAAAGTCAAAAATAAAATCATTTGTTTTAATTAGACCAGGAATATTTTTAATGTAAAAACAACAAAATATTTTGTTTTCTCCTTTATTTAATAGGGGGTTTTTATCCACATAGATATGTCAACCTCATTGTAACTTATACTCTATTTTCATAAAATTATTAAACACCTATTATTAACACATTTCGTACTTAAAACTGTGCTTATGCCTATACGAAGGGGAATTACTGCCTAGAACTCTTCATTCAGAAATAATGCATTTAGACATGTTTGATTTAGGGTAAGCTAAAATATTTTGCATAAGTCCAACATCCATACATCCCACAAGTTAACAAAATATAAAAATGTCAATTTGTCAGTCAGACAAAGCTCAGGTGAAGCTATTTGCTCGTTCCAAATTGTAGAGGAAATTACTCACGCCTAGGATGTTAATTTTTGAACTTTTCCTGATTTTGCATGCTATAGAAATATTAGCAAAACATGTTGTACTTTAACCATGTTTCTGTAACACCTATTTTATATCATGTTTTAAGCAAATAATTATATTATTATTATTATTAGATTCTTAAAGAGAAGAACAAGCAAGAAACTCCATGGTTACTTTATTATAAAATAAGAGTTATCGGCTAAGGAGAGAGACTCTGTGTGAGTGTCTTCAAGGCCCGAGTGAATAGGTTGCTTCTAGGCAGACGTGGTCCATCGTAGGGCGCATTACTTACCGCCAGGCGATAAAGCATCTAATTGCTATGCACTGACCAACTGTTCTGAAGTTAACATAAATAGAATAAGATTTATTAACTTAAAATAACATCATGCCTTTTAATCTCCGAAGGGGTAAGCAGAGGTGCACATTACTTAATTCCAGTGTAAAATATTTTTTTTTATCATCGAATATCTAATATCAAAATGTAACATATAATCGAATTAAAATTAATTAATAAAAGTCAAAATGAAATAGTTACAATCAACACATGTTATGTGTTGGAATAGTTACAATACAAATATAAAATAATTGAGGTCATAAAACAATTAAAATCAAAATAAAATCAGTCAGTGGTGTCTAGATTTTAGAAAGTACATATAACTCGGAAAAGTCACATTGGTACTTGCCGTTGGTAGGTTTCGAACCCATCCTATCACCTACAGGCATCCTAGACCTACAGGCCGGGTCGTGCGGTCCATGGCCCTCTACGGCGCCCCTGTTTGGGCGCCTAACCTGTTGCGGCGTCCCGCTCGGACGCTGCTCATGGCACAGAGGGTCATGGCGATCCGAATGATCCGCGGATACCGCACGATCTCTGGGGAGTCGGCGAACCTCCTTGCCGGATTACCGCCGTGGGATCTGGAGGCGAAGGTGCTCGCGCGCGTGTACAGCATGCGCGCGGAGGCACGTCGCCGGGGCGAAACTCCGCTGCCGCGCCAGATAAGTGCGTGGCGGGATGAGCTCCGGCGCGATCTCATGGCGGAATGGCAGCAACGACTGTCGCAACCGAGGGCTGGGCTCGCTGCCATCGCAGCGGTAAGTCCCCTCTTTGAGGAGTGGCTTGAGAGACGCTACGGCGTCCTCACCTACCGCCTGACGCAGGTCCTCACCGGACATGGAAGTTTCGGGAGGTACCTGTGTCTGATGGGGCGGGAGGAAACGCCCGGGTGTCATCACTGCGAGGACCGCCCTGAGGACACGGTGGAACACACGGTGGGAGAATGCCCTTCGTGGGCTGAGCACCGCCGTGTCCTCAGGGAAGTGATCGGCGATGGCGACCTCTCGCGTCCGGGCCTAGTGCAGGCCATGATGCGGAGCGAGGGGGATTGGGATGCCGTCTCCTCCTTTTGCGAAGCAGTCATGCTAGCTAAGGAGGAGGCGGGACGCGTGAGGCAGCGAAGCGCTGCCTCCTCGCAACCCAGCCATCGCGAAGGACACACCGGGCGTCGGGGATCGCGGGACGATCTCCGGCCACCGTAAGCGCGGGCCTGCGGACGGCGAGCATGGGTGGCTCCCCGTCCGACCAGAAACAGACCCGAGCGTACGGCGCGTCGCGTTCCGCGCGCGCCTCAAAGAGCCATCAGACCACCACAGATGGGGCCCAATAGGGCCGATGCCGATTCGGAGTCGCGGAGAACCTAACGGGTAACCGGGGCTACGGCTCGACGTGCAGGAGAAGGAACGGGGTGGTTTTTAGTCAGTAAGAGTCTGACACTCCCTCCCGCCTCACCCAGGCGGGAGCAGTCATTCGATGATTTTCCCCCCTTAAAAAAAAAAGCCACCATACCTCTAAAATATATATAAAGATATGAAAAAGAAAAATGCTAGTGTCTTCGTTTCTTTTGCTCCTAAGTATAGTTAATTACGGAAATCTAATAAAAGAATAAGTAGGTACCTAAATAGAAATACCTTCTTATGGCTCAAGGTCAGAATTCGGTTCCGCACTGCTAATTGCTGTGGACATAGTGAACTATTTACTCTGCGACCAACGAGTTCATTTTGTGACGTCATTGTTATAAAAACAAAAGTGTACCTATACAACTACATATACATATAGGTATTTCATTATTGTACTGCAAAACGAGATTGTGCGATTTATATCACTAAACTATAAATTTTATTATTGAAAGTAGTGTATTACTTCAAGACTGCCTCATTGGCCGAATGGTAGCAAGTGCAACTGCCAGGCAAGGGGTCTCGGGTTCGATACCCGGGTCAGGCAAAGTATTACTGGGTTTGTAAAAACCTCAGTAGTAGCTCGGAGTCTGGAATTGTGCCCGGTATATGGCAATAGGCTTTCACCCCCTATTACATAGGACTTATAACATATACCTCTATAATAGTGAAGAGTGGGTGTTACATTGTACAGTGGTACTAAGTGCCGTAATGTGCACAGGTGCACCTCTGCCCTACCCCTTCGAGGATAAAAGGCGTGATGTTATGTATTTATGTATTACTTCAATTGTGCGAGACCCATGCTTCGCTTCCACGCTTGCGTTGTATTTCATCGTGTGAGTGAAGTTACCGGAGGCCTAATTACCCACCCCCTTTCCCCAATCCCTGATTCCCAACCATCCTCAAATTCCTAATCCCCAAAAGGCCGGTAACGCACTTGTATCGCCTCTGGTGTTCCAGGTGTCCATGGGCGACGCCGATTGCTTACCATCAAGTGATCCGTCAGCTCGTTTACCGGCTAAACCCATAAAAAAATATGGAGTTGCACTTAATAAGGTAAAATAAAAATGATAGTTCTGTCTTAGATAAAGAAATATAATATTTTTTTTAAATACAAACACATTTTTATCATTTTACATTATTAAAAGTATAATATACTAGCTTTTACCCGCGGCTTCGCTCGCGTCACAAAAGGATAAAAAGTAGCCTATGTGACATATACCAATACACACAGCGCCATCTATACCAATAATTTCGTTTTCCCTTGATAATATACATTTTTTTCCGGGATAAAAAGTACCCTATTATTTAATCCAGACTTCTAACTTTACGTCTGCAAAATTTCAAAACAATCGGTTTAGTAGTTACGGCGTGAAAGTGGAACAAACAAACAAACAAACTCACTTTTCCATTTATAATATTAGTAAGGATTTATCAAAAAATTAAAAGAAAAAATACAAATTCAAAATTAGAACGACGTTTAGAAGGCGGCCATATTTGAGTCAGTAACCGTTAGCGCGGGCATTTCCGTTGCCGTGGTAACCGTTGTCGTTGCCATGGTTACCGTGGTTGCTGTAACCGTTGGCTTGGTTGCTACGGGCATTGTTTGCGTTGTTGTCGTAACCTCCTGAGCGACCTAAGTCTTCAGAATCTTCATAGGAGATCTGGGGCTTGAAGCCACGTTCGTCAGCTTCGTAGCTTACGGTCTGGGGAAAATAATGATAATTTTATTCAACTGTCATAATTATTACATAACATCAGTAACATCACGCCTTTTATCCCCGAAGGGGTAGGCAAAAGTGTACATTATGCCACTGTACAATGTAACACCCACTTTTCACTATTTATGTTAAATGAGTCCCATGTAATAGGGGGTGAGCCTATTGATCATATCATAATTATTATCATATTACCATTGCGTTAATCGCGTGTTGCCAAGCGTAATATTTTTAAATCTGTGTTAGGTACTATTGATATTTTTTAAGCCAAAGAACTTTTTTCCCTATTTAGAAATCAAACTCACAATCCCCTGCTCGGCAATAACACTGGTGACTACACATTTCAAACAACAAAATATTTATTTAATTCTAAAAACTTTGCAAAATGACAACTGGATACTGTGCAGCAAGAGGAGAATTCGATACCTTCACGTCTTAACTCAATGTATAAATGAGTTCGAACTTTGTGTTTAGGTAATACACAAATTGTTCTTCCGGGTCTAGGTCTATAATGTACGAGCTTCTGCCCGCGACTTCGTACGCGCAACCCCGTTTTCTCCCGTTCCCATAAGGTTTTCAGGATTTTTTTCTATCATAAGAACTTTCTCCTGACAATAACAAACACAACAAAAAAAAATCAGACAAATCGGTCCAGCCATTCTCGATTTATGGCGTGACAACGAGAAACGGGTTTTATTTTTATATATATAGAAGAAGATAGATTATTAATTTGTACTTAATATTATGTATTTGTAAACACACCCACGACACAGTAATTAAATAGTTCTAAAATCGTCCGGAAAAATAATGATTTTAATTGCCTAGATTTTTATCCAGTTTTTTTGCAAAAAGACTGCTCTACTAACCTGTTTCCTTCCATCAGGCAGCACGACGTGGTACTCTCCCTGGGCGCGCTCGTCCTGCCTCTCCTCGTGGTGACCGAAGTCCGTACCCTCCTGGTAATCATTCACCATGTAACCAAAGTTGTAGTTTGCTGGCTCCTGTAGACGGTATGATATACACTCATGAACTGGGGGACCCTACTGAAGATCCAGAGCTTTTTGGGTCATTTTGGATAAGCGTAGAAATTTACTAAAACTGGGGCTTACAGCCCATATCCAGTAGGCTGCGCGACATGGTTGTATCTACTGTAGATCCTGGCTTACAGGTGTTGCAGCAGTTTTGGAAGGTGGTGGCGGGCTAGTCCCAAAAAAAAAAGGCTGCGCGACATCGCCGCGACCACGCACGCTGCTCATGAGGAACAGTCCCTCTGTCACAAAGCTATACAAGAGCTTTTTTATTTTTGAGTATATCTACGTAAGTGACTCGTAACTTTTAGTTAATTAAGCATGTCTCACGATTGTTATTATAAAAACTGAATAGAAGTTGTTTGTGGTATGGTTATGTAGAACAACCGTTTATGGAGCAACGTTTTGAATATTACTTCCAATAGTTCTTGTACAGTCGAGACCTATTAATGGAGACTAACTAATGACATTATGTCATTCTGTATTTGCCAGTGCGTATTATAAATAAAATAAAAATTGAATATATAACTTATAATTATAAAGATGTCATCTAAAACTGGTACAAAAAGCCATCGCAAGATGCCAGAGAAAGTTACATGCTTTAAATGCAAGAAGTCAGTTGATATAAAAGAAACAGCTCTGTGTTCAATTTGTAACCATAGATATGAATTGGATTGTGATGGTTATCCTGAAGGAACTTACCGTCTAATGGACCAAGAATCTAAAAAGAGATGGAAATGTAAGACATGCATGAAGAATAATAAGAAGGTTCAGGATGCTAGCAATGTAACCAATATTACCACAAGAAAAAAAGCAAACCCACGTCAAGACTGCTCGACTTCTGCAAACCAATCTCCTGCTTCAGTGCAAATTCAAAATACTAATGATAGTGAACAACCCGTAGCCGTGATAGCTTCTGTTCAAAATACTTCGGGCATCTTGGATTCTCACATCCTGTCAGATTGCGACATTTCAGGCGAATCTTATGACACACCCAATAAATTATCTAAAAGCGTGGACGGCACAATATCTGAAACTTTGACAATTCTAGAAATGAAAGACACCATAAAAGGACTCACAAATAAACTAGACAGTGCTGAAAATGAGTTAGAAAATACAATTCTGGAAAATAATAATCTACGACAACAATTAGACAAATTGACTTCTGAAGTAAAAATTTTAAAATCTCTCTGCCATTCCTCAACAGTCACTGAAAACAGTCCAGCTATCAATTCAAAAAGAAAAAGACACTCATCGTTACTTCAAAGCTCATTCTTCTCACCTTCTACCCCTTTGTCGAACTCCTTGCGGGTTGACCTTCGCAAAAACACAGAAATAATGGAACTACAACAAAAAATAACTAAACTACAAAATCAACTGAAAGATGCACAACAACAAATTGAAGCCTGCAAGAGAATTATTGACCAGTCAAAACATAATAGCGTAATATCTCAGAATTCACCCGTATCGGAAATGAACACAAGGACACCTGCTCACGCTGAACAGCCAAAACACGAAACTACAAATAGAGTACTTATCTTTGGTTCTCAACAATGCGTTGGTTTAGCAGCTGCCTTGATACACTCAAGACGAAATTCAAGGTACGAAAAGTATAGAATTATAGCGGATACAAGGCCTAATGCTCTATGTAATCAAATAATAACGAGTTGTTGTAAAGCTAAATTGAACATAAACGATAAACTTATAATTTGTGTAGGAGAAAATGATCACAATTTGAAATATATTTTGTCTCAACTACAAATTATACTAGACACATTCTATAACAATATGGTCATAGTATTAAATGTATTTAAGAATGAGTACTTAGATCCTAATAAGCTTAATTATCGTCTGAAAAATGTATGTCATAACTTTAAAAAATGTAAATTTCTGGAAACTGATACTTTTAAAGTGACCGAATTATGTACTAAAATTAATTACTTAATAGATTGTAATGACTATAATGAAAACTATTTAAATCCTAGAGAACTTATGAAAAGAATAGCGAGTAGCAGATCAAGTCTTAAACTAAATACCAGTAACGTACCCAAAAAAGGAACAATTCCATTCTACTTTGGTCGTAAAAATCATACTCAAACTGAAAATCCCTCCTATTTGAAAAGTAGCACAGAACCGGAACTAAATAACGACGCGCGTATTTGCATCGGGAAACTTAGAAAAGGTACGATACCTTACTATTTTCAATCAAAGATAAAAAATAATATATTTTTTCGTTCCTGAACCCGTGACATCGACCTCACTTGACTTTAGGATACTTCACCAAAACATTGCAAGCGCTCTGTCCAAACAAGAAATATTGGAATTAACGTTACAGGAGATGCGAGATTCGCAGAGTGACCCGCATGTAATCTGCCTCTCTGAGACATTTATTAAAAAAGGCCATGAAAACTATCTTAAGTTGTCTGATTATTTAATGGCTTCAAATTTTTGTAGGGATAAACAGCGAGGTGGCACTTGCATTTTAATTAAAAAGGGCCTTATTTACAAAGAACTGCCGTTTGTTGAAACACATGCCTCTGTAAATACATTTGAGGCATGTGGAATTGAACTAACAAATGATAAACTAATCATAATCTGCATATACAGAACACCTCAGTCCGATCCTAACCAATTTTTAAGTAAGTTAGATAATATCTTATATGATATTTACAAAAAATACAAAACAAAAACACGTATAGTTTTAACAGGTGATTTTAATATAAATACTTTCAAAAAAGGGAAAATCACGCAAGTATTTCAAGACATAGCCCGTAGTCATAATATTGAAATTCATATTAATGAAGCCACACGTAAATTGTCCTGTATCGACCATATTTTAAGTAATATACCTGATGCTATCGCAAGAGTATTACCACTTCACCTCTCTGACCATGAAACGGCTCAAATGCTAAGCTTCCCTCTAAAGCTTCAGACATCAAAAGCAGCAATATATTATATCTTTAAGAGAGATTACAATCTGCATAATACACGTAAGTTTAAAGAATGCTTACAAAACTTATCTTGGGCAAACATATACATGGAGAACGATGCAAATAGGGCATTCGACTGCTTCCATGAATTGATATGTCTGTTTCACAATCTCTGCTTCCCAAAAGTAAGGGTTAAAATAGACTTAAACAAAAAAACTAAACAATCATGGATAAGTAAAGGTCTTAAACAGAGTACTAAAACAAAGCGTGGTCTACGATACCAATATTATAAAAATAAAAATCAAGGTAACAAGACCAAATATAACACATACTCTAATCTGCTACAGAAATGTATCTACAATGCCAAGCGTAATGCTAATATGAAGTATATTGACAAGAATGACAATAAGTGTAAAGCCACATGGACTGTTATAAAAAACGAAATACACAATAAGAACCCCAAAGATAATATTGAATACATTAAAACTAATAGCACTATTCTTACAAAACCAGAAGTAATAGCTTCCGCCTTTAATAGGCTCTATGTAAATAGTAACCCAACGCAAAACTGTAACACCAAATGCTTTAATAAAAATGTAATTGCTAATTCAATGTACCTCTCGCCAATGTACGAAAGTGAGGTAAGACAAAATATATTATCATTAAACAATACTACTTCTGAGGGTTACGATGAGCTCAACACAAAAATAATTAAGATATGTGTTAATGAAATAAGCGGGGTATTGACATATCTTATCAACCTATCCTTTTCACAGGGTGTGTTTCCTAATGCCTTAAAAATATCCCTTGTAAAGCCGATTTTCAAAAAAGGTGACAAAAGTAATATGGACAATTATCGTCCCATAACATTAATACCAATCTTTTCAAAAGTATATGAAAAATGCATGTACCAAAGATTAATTAGTTACTGTGAAAAATACAATATTTTAAATAAGCAACAATTTGGTTTTCAGAAACTAAAATCAACTACCTTAGCCATTTTTACTCTTTTAAAAACAGTACTGACGAGTATTAATAAAAATCACCTTACAACAGGCTTATTTTTTGATTTGACAAAGGCTTTTGACCTAGTTTCACATGATATATTATTGAAAAAGCTAGAGTCCGTCGGAATTAGAGGATTGTCACTTCAGTGGCTATCATCATACTTAACTGATAGACAACAGAGTGTAGTTATCTCCAAGCTTAATGAAAAGGGAGATATGACATTTTACTCGTCTGAATATAAAAATGTAAAATGTGGCGTACCCCAAGGTAGTATATTGGGCCCAATTCTATTTATTACTTACATAAATGACATATTTGACATAACCAATCATAAATGTATCCTTTTTGCTGATGACATATCTATTATTATTACTAGTGACAAAAAATTGAAAACCATTACTGATCATGAAGCGGACATAAATATAACAATTGACAATTTAATTAGCTATTTAAATAATAATAATTTAACTATTAATCTCAATAAATCTGTATATATACAATTCAATCAATCTTATAATCCGAAATTTAATTTTAAAATGAACGTATCCAAACTTACCCAAGTGACACAAACTAAGTTCTTAGGAATAATTGTAGACCAACATTTAGATTGGAAAGCTCAGGTCGACCATGTGTGCAATAAAATTAATAAATTCGCGTACGCCCTTAGGCAAATTAAGAGGGTCACTAGCATAAAAACGGCTGTGATGTCTTATCAGGCATATGTTGAGTCCTCTTTACGGTATGGTCTGATTTTTTGGGGAAATAGTACCGACCAAGGTAGAGCGTTTGTTGCCCAAAAAAAGTGTATACGAGCTATTCAGGGGATCCCATCGGATGAGTCATGTCAACCCATCTTTAAAAAACTTGGTCTGCTACCATTGCCATCATTGTATCTGTATGAAGTGTCTATGTTTGTACGAAAACATATAGAGCTATTTAAAACAGTAGAAGAAGTAAGCTCACGCAGTCGGCGTGATCAGCAACAGCACAGACTTGTACTGGAAGAGATTCCTAGGATAGTGAAATACAATAAGAGCTGTCCAGCTATGTGTATTTGTGTATTCAATAAACTACCAAATATCTTGAAAACTGCGAATTGTAGACAGTTTAAGATTGAATTGTATAATTTGTTGACGCAATATAATTTCTATAGTATTAAGCAATTTTTGGAACACAGACCTTAGTTTTTCCTATTTGTAAGATTTTATAGTGTTTGACTAGACACTTACAAGTTTGCATGCTTTAATTGTAAGCAAAACATGCTGGACTTTACATTTATTTTAACAACTTTGTATACCGTGTTTTTCGCAAATAAATAAATTATTATTATTATTATTATTATTATTAATCGGGGGATTTTTTTACGATAAGGGAACAAACGAAGTGCTTGGTCATCTGATTATAAGCATACATCAGTGATGTATGCTTATAAGGGTAAGGGCCACTGCCCTTACTGGGATTTAAAAGACCCTACCCTCTTTGATATAATGACTGGATTCTTATTGATACAGTATCTGTAGAGGTAGTATCATTATTAAGCTATTATTATCTACTTACAGAATTAATCTCCTCTAGAGCATTTCTGGCAGCACTGTTGGGGTAGCCAGCTGGTTCTTCGGCTCCGTGGCGAGCGTGGGCAGTAGCTCCATGGTCCTGGGCAGACCTGGACGAATAGGAGGGATTATTTGCTTGATATTTTGATAAGATGGAATTAGGCGGCAAACAAGCAAATAGTGATGAAAAAAATCGGTGCCATCCCATCCATAGACACTCGAACCACTAGAGGAGTTGCAACTGCGTTGCTGACCTTTTTGGGGATTAGTTATTTGAGTGTTGAGGATTTGGGGAATGGGAAGAATGGGGATAGGAGGAATTAGACGTTAAGTGATTTATAATGTTTACCTTCCAAAACCATTAGCTTGAGCTCCATGTCCACTATGGGCGTGAGGTCCAAGACCAGCGCGACCTTGAGCTCCGTCCAAGTTGCGAGCCGCTATAATCTGAGGTCCAAAGTTCTGGCTGGCTGGTCCTTGAGGGTAACCAGCACCACGGCTTGAAGATGGAGGTGGTAGGTAGCTGGGAAAATATAAGTATTGTTTTTGTTTAAAAAAAATGATATTTGAATGTCAATTTAACTTAATGTGATAATAATCTGAATTTTGTACGTTTTTTGTTTAAGGCGTTTATGTTTATGAGTTATGACTGCCTCGTTGGCCAAGTGGTCGCATTTGCGACTGCCGGGCAAAGGCGTCTCGGGTTCGATTCCCGGGTCGTGCAAAGTATTACTGGGCTTTTTCAAATAATCTCAGTAGTAACACGGAGTCTGGAATTGTGCCCGGTATATGGCAATAGGCTCACCTCACCTAGATGGGACTCATAACATAAATAGTGAAAAGTGGTATAACATTGTACAGTGGCGTTAAGTACCGTAATGTACACCTCTGCCTACCCCTTCGGGGATAAAAGGCGTGATGTTATGTTATGTTATGTTATGTTTATGAGTTCTGTGAGTAGATCTTGCATTAAAAACCTTTATAGTTTAGGCGATTTCAAACTTATACGTAATGATGATGATGTAGTATACATTAAATAGAGTGTAAATGGTCACCTGTTGGATGGAGGCGGCTCAGCATAAGTGAACGCTACTAGGAGCACAGTAACTGCGATTGTCTGAAAACAGATTGTTGTAAACCAGTGAAAATAGTTTGGTAATGAACGTACTGCGTTTTAAGAAAAACTATCGATTTTTAAGTTTTCCGTTTTGTAAAAATAACCTCTTAACATTTGATGGAACTTTAATTGGGTTTTTAAATTGCGAATTTTATTTTTATCTGTGCTTACGAATTAAAATTAGCAAGAAAACCAATCGGCGAAGTAACTATTACTCATTAAATAACAAGAACAGCTAGCATAAGAAAAAATGGTTGCCTGTAAAGTCGTTTTTACGGGCGAAGATTTTACGTGACAACGTCTTTTTCTCGGTAGAATATTTATTGATATGAATATAATTAAATTGCACAATAGGAACAAGGAATTGAATGAACTAGTGCTGCGCGCGCGGCAGACCGATCATAGTTGAGTGGGAGAGAGACGCAAGGCATTCGGCGGGCCTCTCTCTCGTTCGGTGACTCATCGTAACGTTACCGAGCGTTACACTTTTTCATAAGTGACTCCCAGCCGCAACCTAATTTAAGACGTTGTCACGTCAAAAAATATTGAAATGTTGATGGTTAATTAATAGAAATTTACAATAATGAAATAAAAACAAAACAAACCTTCATATTGTCAAAACCAACACTTCTTTTACACAGAAAACGAAACCACAAAACTTATTACTTGATTTATTTAAACACAATTTTAAACTCACTGACAGTTTAAACTATATTGTAAACCTGTGTTCGTAACAGTTGATGTACCAGTTTCAAAATGATACTGTTTGGGACTCAAGTGAAGCTTTTATACAATTTGTGTTGAAAAGGTTTTCGGGGATGAAATATTATGTCTCATTAGAGCATAAAAGGCGAGCTTTCAAGGTGTATACGTGCTATGAGACGTGAAAAGGTATGGAGTAGATTTGGTAATGGATATTTTTGTGTGTGTGTGTGTGTGTGTATGATCTTTGTGGCGTTTGTTTATTGATTAGGATTTTTTGTAATTGAAATTTATAATTTAGAATGCAGAATAGTAAGCCATAAATGTAGGAATCATTGTAATCATTCTGGTTCGTGCCACCGTCGAGGTACGTCGTTTCGTAGAAATAAAAAATAAGTGGATTATTAATTTTGAGTTCTACCGCAATAACATTAAAGTGCTATTCTGCTTGAGTGCAAATAACCGCATACAACATTTTAACACTAAGACATTGGAGGCACCAAACAGTATATGCGAGAAATACAGATGCAACGATTTTTGCCACCAGTAAAATTTGCGTCGCAACCGGATCTCACTTCAGAAATGGATAACCAAGGCCAAGAAGACAGCAAGAATGTAAACATGAGAAAGAACATAAGGAAGAAAAATCCTGATGAGCAACAAATGGCGGACTTAAAGCAAGATCTCTTAATACAATTTAAGAAAATGATGATGGAAGAAATAGCTGTTATCAAAGAGCAAAATACTAAAATACTTGAGTCTAACGCCGAAATAAAAACCCAACTAGAATTGATTGACACCAACTATAAGAAAATTTGCAATAGACTTCAAAGAATTGAAACTAAATATGAAGCTGCTGTCGACCGCATTGGTCAATTAGAGATACAACTGAACACATTACAGAAACAAACTCTAAAAAACACGATTGAAATAAGAAATATTCCACATGATGAGAAAGAAGATGTACAAAATATTGTCACAAATATATATAGGAACTTGGGAATACTACAAATGGAAGACAATGCAAAAGTTAGAAGAGGCAGAAAAAATGGACCAATAGTTATCGAGTACCAGGACACCAAAGGCAAAGACATACTTCTTAAGGCTGTGAGAAAATACAACTCTGATAATAAAGGCAAACCACTCAGCACCAACATTATGGGATTTCCGGGTGCTTCCTCACGAATATATATATCGGAGGCTCTTGCTCCTATGTCGAAGCAGATATTGGCAGCAGCAAGAGAACTCGTAAAGAATGGATCGTATAAGTATTGTTGGGCTTCGAAAGGAAATATATTACTTCGTAAACAGGAGGGACAACCCGCCATTGTCATCAAATCTTTGAGACAAATTATGGATCTCGCCTCAGAATGACTGCATGCTGAGAAACAATGTTATGGTGCAAGGTCATGGTATTTTTTTACGTTATCTTACTTTCTTTCTAATGTTGCTGCTTATTACTATGTGTGTCAACATTTATTTAATTTCCCAAGTGTTAACTCGTCTTACAACATATTGGGTTCACAGACTATCTTATTATTTTCCAAATACTATATTTTATGTATGTTGACAACATATGTGTATATATTACTATTATTTATAATTATAACAATATATTTTATCTATGTCAAGTCCGATATCAAAGAAAATTCAATACTAGTCCTAGGAACTCTAATCCTCAACCAAAGACATCCTGACATACCAAATGTAAACACCACAACCCCCTTCCAATGGATAACATAGATGAGGTAGTCGCTGATGTTGATCGAAATATCAGCGTAGGTAATTCGTTTTTGGTTGAGGTTCCAGAAGTCTTTTCGGAATATAAACTTGACACTGGAATTTCTTTAAAAATTATCGTGCAAAATATTCGTAGCATTCACAGAAATTTTGAGGATTTTAAGGTACTCCTAGCACGAAGCCATTTAAGTTATGACGTCATTATACTTACCGAATGTTGGCTCCAAGGAGCAAGCGTGATACCAAGTTTGGACCAATATACAGCTTTTCAGACTTTAAACTATATCAATCAAAATAGTGGTGTAGTCGTATATATAAGGAGTCATTTAACTGGCATCACAGTATATGAACCAAATATTATGGATGCTGATTGCTTGATAGTAAAAATCGACAATAGCCATGCCTTTGTTTGCATGTATAGATCACCATCTTTTGCATCAATCACTAATTTTCTCGGTTCTTTGGATGGACTTCTGTTGAATATTAAACAAGTGCCTAACATTTACTTAACTGGAGATATAAATATTGATATCGGTGACCATAGTACGGACCAAAGATCCGACGACTATTTGAATCTTCTTGCAACACACTGTCTGTTGCCTAGTCATCAATTTCCGACGCGCTTTAACAAATGTATTGATCACTGTTTTGTTAAATCAAAGAATAAAATATTAACTGTTATCTGTCAGTCGTCAATTACTGATCATAGCAGTATGTATGTTAATATACCTTTAACTCACGGGCACAACAATAAACAAAAAGAATTTCTGCGGAAACTAAATTATGAAACGGTTTATGAACTAATGCGAGAATTGGACTGGGTGAATGTAACTACGCTAGAAGAACCAAGTAAGGCCACTGAATCGTTTATTGAGACCTTATCTGAAATAATAAATAAAAGTAGTAGCACGGTCGTTGTGCCCAATAGGCGCCAAACTTTCCAACCATGGGTTACCCCAGGACTGTTGCGTTGCATTCGATTTAGAGACACACTGCACAAGAGGTATCTAAAGACACCCAATAATCAGAATCTAGAAATAACATACAAACGATATAGAAATTTTTGTAACAATATTCTTCATAAACTAAAAAATGACTATGATAAAATTAACTTAAAAAACAGTAGAGGAGACATAAAGAAAACATGGAATGTCATAAAGCATGTATGTAATCTCGGAGTTAAAGATAAATCACAGGTATCAACTGAATTATTAAAACAAAAGTCAACACCGCAAGACTCTGTCGACTACGTAAACGATTTTTTTGTTAATATCGGCTCTAAATTATCAAAAAACATTCTAGAAAAATTACAACTAAAAGAGCATGAACTTGTGCAAAAAAATAAATCTACGTATGGTGTTGTGGACTCTTTTTTGCTGTGGGAAACTGATGAAGTGGAGGTACGTAAAACCATTGCATCACTAAAAAACACGAAATCTACAGGATGGGATGGAATATCAGCTGATTTTATTAAAAAAACATGTAAATTTATTATTACGCCCTTAACTCACATATTTAATTTATGCATCTCATCGGGGAAATTTCCAAAAATATTGAAGGATTCCTTAGTTTTACCTATATTTAAATCGGGTGATAAAAATTGTATCACTAATTACCGTCCAATTTCTCTTTTACCTACACTGTCTAAAGTTCTCGAAAAAATAATGAACAATCGGCTTGTTAGTTATTTGGATAAAAACAATATCCTTTCACAAAATCAGTTTGGTTTTAGGAAACGTATATCGACCACAGACGCAGTTGAAAACTTGGTAACAAGTGTGGCTAGCAATCTCGACTCAAAGAAAAGATGCCTTGGTATATTTTTGGATTTAGCCAAGGCATTTGACACCGTTTCAATTCCTCTGCTCATAAATAAATTGGAGGCTATAGGTATACGCGGAAAACCACTTGATTTGTTCCAAGATTATCTAACAGATAGATCACAGGCGGTTAAAATTGGTAGTTATGTTAGCTCTAAACAAAACGTTAATTTCGGTGTGCCTCAAGGATCAGTACTTGGACCTACATTGTTCTTGATTTACGTAAATAACCTATGTAATATGAGCTTCCCCGACGCAAAAGTAATTACATTTGCGGATGATACAGTGGTCTTATTCCAAGATAAAACATGGGCTGATGTCAAGGCGTCCGCCGAGCGGGGTCTTCGACAGATAATTAAATGGCTTGATTACAATTTGCTGACGCTAAACCTCTCAAAAACGAAATATATAACTTTTAGTTTAAAAAACAATCTACAACCGCCTACCGATTTTGTCTTAAAGGCTCACGACATTGATTGTCAAAATACCAATGATTGTGATTGTTTCTTGTTGTCCGCAACGGACAGTACTAAATATCTTGGTATCGACATTGATAAAAATTTGAACTGGAAACAGCACATAAGTAATTTAAAAACTCGCATACGCAAACTCATACCAATTTTCAAAAAGATTAGGAATTTACAGGACAAATCCACTAACAAAACTGTTTACTTCACATTGTGTCGATCTATACTTTCTTATGGTATTTCGGCTTGGGGTGGTGCTGGAAAAAGTAATATCATAAAAATAGAAAGGGTTCATCGATGTATCCTAAAGGTCATAAACTTCAAAAAATTTACGTATCCCACGACTGAACTATACAAAGAATTTGAGGTTTTAAACGTTCGTCAACTTTTTATACAGAGTATAGTGCTAAAACAGCATATCAAAAAAAGGCCAATAAATAAATCTTCGAGAAGATCACATGAGGTGTATGATGTCCCAGCCTGTAAAACAACATTTGCACAAAGTTTCTCCTTTTTCCTGGCTCCACTATTGTACAATCGTATAAGTAGAGTAAAACCCTTAAAAGATATGACAAGACATGCTTGCAGAAGGGCACTGGATGAGTTTCTCGGTAAAATGGACTATGAACGGACTGAACAATTCATAAAAATATGAGCTCAAGACTAATTTATTTATACATATTCTTCATACCAGTAAATTTTATTTATCATACATAACTACCTATATAGATTTATTATTTATTATTTTTTTTAATATATATTGTCTATATGTATATACATTATTATTGTTTAATATATAGTGTTTATTCTTATTTCATCTATTTATTTTTTATTTTTTATTTTTTTATTCTTTATTTTGTATTTTGTACCAAATGCTTCAAAATATCTACATTTACATTAATAATGTTAATACTTAAATGTTTACTCCTCATCACTTTACAAGGACATAACTACAGAGTGGGAAAACTATACATTACGCATATATCAAAGGTACATACCAAAAATGAGTTGCACATAAATATTGGCCAGTTACTAATTTTGTACTGATCACCAGTTAAATTTTTCGCACCAGATTTTTTGTCTAAAAGTTTTGCATGTACTATTTGTTCATACTTTGTGGCTGTTACTTATTATAAAATTATTAGTAGTTGAAAAATCAAAGCTGTAAGCAAAAGGGTACTTTATGTTCTACGTTACATGATTGAAAATAAATCGTTCGAGCGAGAATCTTACCTTGCCGTAACACAGTCTTTGACTAGCACGGGAGGTAAAGTAAAAAATCTACGTATACCGTCTGTGGACATTTATTACACTTTTGGTATCAAACTTATTGTCTTGTGAATTACTGAGTTAAATTACTTTTGTTTGCAAGGTGTATTATAGGATTGCTGTTGCTGTGTATTATTGATACTACAGAAATGCCACTGCTTATGTTAACTTGTATGTATACATTATAAACTAGTATTTTTTGGTCTACCTTGCAATTGTGATTGTGATTTCTATGTATTCATTATCGCTTTCTGTTAAATAATAGGTATACTTGTCCTTTGTTTTGCTAAATAAATTATTCTTATTCTTATTCTTATTCTTATTTTATTTTTATATCAACTTAAGGCCGATTTTTCCAACGACAGATATCTACATTTTAATTGTGGAATAACTGTTGAATATTTGACTATTCTTCCATACTGAAAATTGTCAATTGTAATTTTTTTTCTACAGTTCAGAATTAACAGATGATTGAAAAATTAACGTTAAGTATCACTATTTATTATTATAACTATGCACTATTTATTTACGTTTTGGTGACATACATTCCTATTTTAGTTATTTAAATTAAATTACCTTAGAACGTTGAGAACCTTGTTACAAAATTACAAGATTTGGTTAGGTTACCTATGTTAATAATAGTCGTTTGTCTAAACGTGGATCCACGCGAGACTTAATGTATTTTCTATTGTGTCTCACATCGGTGCATTCAAGCGGTTAAATAACTTTAATTAACTTCAAATAACATTTTTTAAATCGTCTTAACTTAAAAAAGAATTTATATTGATTTCAATAAAATCCTTTCTTATTTTTTAAAGGATTTATTTGAAAAGACCCATACACAAATTACATTTATAAAAATGTACACACATGACTCGACTCTATACCTTTCTTTAGTCCACAGATGTCACTCAAGGATGTACCAACAACACGGTGACTTCCTAATACCACGCACTAACTTGCATTATATCTATTATGTTATGAAGTACTTATTAGCAATATATGACCTTACTCAGGATTAATGTCGTGGTGTCCCGGAGGTTTAAGACTCTTCTTCTCATGCATGAGAGTTCGGGTTCGAAACCTATCAACGGCCAGTACCAATGTGACGTTTCCTGAATTATATGTACTTTCTAAGATTATTTAGATACCACTGACAAATGGTGAAGCTAAAGGAATTTTAGAATTTCTAACTAGTTATAAGTTTGATATTGCCAACTTGCATTGAGCAAGCGTGGTGATTAATGCTCAAACCTCAACCGTGAGAGAAGAGGCTTCTTTTTAAAACGTGGGGCAACGTTTTAAAAATAGCATAGGAATTTCTTCTGTGTCGTGGGTGCGTTTACAAACATACAAGTTCACATACACAACGACACTCAGACCCGAAACCACATTTGTGGATCACACAAAGTGTTGTTCCGTGCGGGTTTCAAACCCGCGACACATTGCACGGCAGCCGGTTGCCCAGCCACCGCACCAACCGTGGAGTCATTGGCAAGGCTTACGGTAACCACTTACCATCAGGTGTGCCGTGTGCTTTTCTTGCCACCGTCGTGGTTTAAAATAAGTATTAAAATTAAAGTGTGGGAGACCCATGCTTCGGCACGAATGGGCCGGCTCGACCGGAGTGATACCACGGCCTCACAGAAAAACGACGTGAAGCAACGCTTGCGTTGTGTTTCGTCGTGTGAGTGAGGTTACCGGAGGACCAATTACCATCCCCTTCCCAAATCTCCCCAATACCTGAATCCCCAACGATCCTCAAACTCCTAATCCCCAAAAGGCCGGTAACGCACTTGTAACGCCGCTGGTGTTCCAGGTGTCCATGGGCGACGCCGATTGCTTACCATCAGATGATCCGTCTATTCGTTTACCAGCTTATGCCATAAAAAAACATGTTTATTAATGTTTTAAAAGCTCAAAGGGTTTATTTGAACGCGCCAATCTCAGTAACTACCAGTCCGATTTGAATAATTATTTTTATGCTGGATAGTCCTTTTATCGAGGAATGCTATAAAACATCACTCTATGACCTATAAGAGCCAAGCAGAGCGAGTAACAACGCGCAGATTTAGCTAGTAGTCAATAAGAAGTCTATTAAAAGTAAATAAATAACATTCTGTCAAGTCAAAGTCAAAATCATTTATTTCAATTAGACCAAGAAGGCCCTTTTGAACGTTAAAACAAAATATTTAAATATTAAAGAAAAAATGTCAGTCTGTCTGTCAGTCCTCCAGTACAGCTACCTATTTGTTTATTTCAGGTTTAAAAAATCTCAGTAGGTAATATACTCACCCCCTATTACATGGAACTCATTACATAAATAATGAAAAATGGGTGTTACATTGTACATTGGCATTAAGTGCCGTAATGTGTACCTCTGCCTACCCCTTTGGGGAAAAAGACGTAAACTTATGTTATGTTCAGTTTCAGGATCAGGCGTGAAATACTGTTGGTTTATCGGGATTTGGGATATGTAATAATGTAATGTAACCTCATAGAATAGGTACTTCCTAAAAAATATACCCAAGGCTGCTTCCATTAGGTGTAAGAAATGTTTATGAAACAAATAAATAAAGCATTAATTCGTAATCATTTATTTCACAGAATACGGCAGTTCCATATTTATTGCTAATATGGGTAAATTAATTTGTTAGCATATAAGTAGATACAGTTTCGACCATATTACGCCTTGAGGCATGCAAATTAACAAACACAATATTATTCGAAAAAAATTAATAAATTTTTTAAGATGTAAATATTTTAGTTATTTGTATTTGTATACATTCAAAATTTTAACTGTCAACACAATTATTGTAATATAAGTGAATTATCAATTATTTTAAACTGTCAAACACCGCGAGGATACCGGTGACCGCAACCTATTTTGTTCTTTAATTGTGTCTATAATGACGGTACTCAAAGGAAAATAATTAATTGAAGTTTATTTATTAATTTATTCAGGTGTTTATATATGCTTTATTGTACTCATTTAAATAGCTTAAAAACGAACAATTCAAGTAAATATGCGTACAATCGGCGGTCTTATCACACAATGGTGATTTCTTCCAGACAACCTTTGGATGGATATATTTATAAGAAACTAGATACAGGGTACTTAAGTGTACAATAAAAAAGACAAAATAAAAATACTTACAATACAACCCACAATAGATATAATATACTTTTTTTGAGGGGGGAAAATCATCGAATGACTGCTCCCGCCTGGGTGAGGCGGGAGGGAGTGTCAGATTCTTACTGACTAAAAACCACCCCGTTCCTTCTCCCGCACTACGAGCCGGAGCCCCGGTAACCCGTTAGGTTTTCCGCGGCACCGTATCAGCATCAGCCCTATTGGGCTCCATTTGTGGTGGTCTGATGACTCTTTGAGGCGCCCGCGACGCGCCGTACGTTCTGCCACACCCATGATTCACTACCATACATAAGCGTTGGTGTCAATACACACTGCATTACAGCAAGTCGAGCTTTGCTGGATATTGTTTTACTCGATATTACAGAGTGTAAGGCACCATTAACACTATTTCCCGCTTTCACTCTCCTTTCAATATCCCCGTCACACTTTACATCTCTCGTCAATAGTGATCCCAGACAGATGAACAAACTCATTCACTTGTTCCAATTTTTGATCACCTCTCATTACCTGACATTCTGTTATCATCTTATTTCTTTCTACAAACTATCTAATTTATAAAGGAAAAAACTTACAATATGCACTGTGTATAAATAAATACGTTTCTGTATTACAATTAGACAGCTTTTCGGATTACTTAAATTCATTCACCATAATTATAGTATATTCCGTTCCGTCACAGTCAACTGGTGGACTACGGCCTTCTTCTCCTCCTTCTACATCAAACATTAACATCTAAATTTTAAGGAGCTCACTGGCTAAGATAGGAGACATTTTAATTTTACCAACCTCTAAGTGACACCTTATAATACGAGTAAGGGGTTAGTTAGGCGCCACGTCACGCTAAATTAATTTTAGGTGCGTCGCTGCCCAACCATAACCAGCCCCGAGCGTACGAATCGTCGTGTTCCGCGCGCGCCTCTAAGAGTTATCAAACCACCACAGGTGGGCTCAGTGAAGTCAGTAGGCCTTATATGGAGCCGCGTTTTCATGGTTGTATCTACTGTAGATCCTGGCTTACTGACAGGAGTTGCAGCGGTTTAGGGCAGGCTCGGCCAAAAAAAGTTCGTACAAAATTATGTTCTTAATTCAAAATCTGGTACTGGTCAGCTATCCCGACATTGTTAAACAGGTTAAAGTTTTTTTTTAAATTGTTCTGTAGATCTGATTTCATGTTATCAAAGGTGACTGCACGGTTGGCGCGGTGGCTGGGCAACCGGCTGAAGTATAACGTGTCGCAGGTTCGATTCCCACACGGAACCACTCTTTGTGTGATCCACAGATTGTTGTTGAGAACAGAGGAATTACTTATTTGTACGTCTTTTTTATACTTGATAGGTTGACGTTCGGCCATCATCTCGCCTGGTGATGTGGCCAACGATGGAGCACGCCTTCCTATGAGCAACCTGTTCACTCGGGACTTGAAGACACCCAGGTACCTCCGAAAGCGAGGTAAGTAGACTAGCTACTTAGAGAGAGGAGAGCTACTTAGAGGTATAAAAAGAAAATAAAAAGAAAATTATATTACAAAAATATATTTATGTTGCACTAAACTACATCACAAAGCGACTTACAAACTATGAGGTACATTATTGCATTATTTTTTTATATTTTTTTTTACAATTTGCTAGAAAAATAATAAATTATTGAGTATTTTACAGTCAGATCCTTTTTACAGTCCATTTTCATAAACAATTCATCGTTTAATATTATTTTTTACAGCACATTTTCTGACATCTTAATGTTAGTTCTATTGATTGCTGCTAGAGGCGCCACTGGTTTCAGTACGTTCTTCTTTGTGATTTTTATGGATTAGTTATGATTGGAATTTATTTTACAGTTTCTACATCAACACTTTTTTTAGATTATGTTTATGTTTTTTTACATTGGTATGTAGGGTCATGTTTGTTGAAATAATGGTGCTCAAAATTATGACAATTTTTAAATCAAAATCTAGATAAATAAAAAATATTTATAAATCCTTATACAACACAATTAAGTAGTCTATGACTGAATGCTCTATCTTCCCCAGAGCCTGATTGTTAAATAAATAATATAAACACATTTATATATTTTTTTAAACTGAATCCCTTTGATTTTAGTTGAAATGCGCCACAGACAGCTACCAATCAAACTAACACCCGTCACAGCAAAATGATATCTATCCCTTTATTAATAAGGTCCATCACCAGACCTGGCGAGATCAGACGCATTTTCATCGTATCCACCAGAGCGGCCCAAGTCTACCTGCTCCACTGAGATCCTCGGCTTGAATCCACGCTCGTCAGCTTCGTACTCCACCGTCTGCAAAGAAAAATAGACCTTATGAAAATTACATACTGTTGAGTTCATTTTAGAAATACATACGACATTTTATATGCGTGAGAAAGCTATAGTAACTGCATTTCCTGAGGGTTTTTTTTGGCATAAGCCGGTAAACGAGCAGACGGATCACCTGATGGTAAGCAATCGGCGTCGCCCATGGATAACTGGAACACCTGAGGCGTTACAAGTGCGTTACCGGCCTTATGGGGATTAGGAGTTTGAGGATCGTTGGGGATTCAGGAATTGGGGAGATTGGGGAAGGTGAGGGTAATTGTTCCTCCTCCGGTAACCTCACTCACACGACGAAACACAACGCAAGCGTTGTTTCACGTCGGTTTTCTGCTCGGCCGTGGTATCACTCCGGTCGAGCCGGCCCATTTGTGCCGAAGCATGGCTCTCCCACACTTTAAGGTTAAGAGCTAAGAGACTATACAGATAGATAGACAGAGCCCAGCTACCACCGAACGCTCTCTGATAAACCTGTATTTCTTCAACCCGCCTGCAATGGGCCCGCCTGAATCCGTCGATGGACTGGCCCGGGGTGTTGAGGAGGAAGATAACTAGCAAAAGGTGGGCATCCCGTAGTCCCATTTTTTCTTTTTCTATTTAAATAACGTTGCCCCACACTAGGATTTTCTCCTGTGTCTTGGGTGCGTTTACAAACATACAAGTTCACATACACAATGACACCCAGACCCGAAACAACAATTTGTGGATCACACAAAGAGTTGTTCCGTGCGGGAATCGAACCCGCGACACGTTGCACGGCAGCCGGTTGTCCAGCCACCGCACCAACCGTGCAGTCATTATTAGAATTACTATCAAAATAATAAATTTATAATCTTCAGTGATACCAGTGTCGCTATCTATGGTGACTTATGTGAACTTATCTGTAATCTGTCTATTATAATAAAATTTTGTCCAACCATTTTTGTATGTTGTATTAGGTTATGGGCCCAGTACGCTCCCACTGCTCTTCTCATTGTTATTTGCTATTTTTCAAAGAGGGTGGCCTCTTTGAGAAATAACAAATACGGTACCAGCTTAAGTAGTTTTTTTTTTAAGGGGGGAAAATCATCGAATTACTGCTCCCGGCTGGGTGAGGCGGGAGTGAGTGTCAGACTCTTACTGACTAAAAATCACCCCGTTCCTTCTCCTGCACGTCGAGCCGGAGCCCCGGTTACCCGTTAGGTTCTCCGCGACGGCTTAAGTTGTTTAGGGCTGAGGAAATGACACTATACTGTAGACTGTAGCCCTGACAAAAATAAAAAGTAAGAGTTCAAGTCTTACCTGCTTAGTACCATCAGGTAGGACGACGAAGTAAGAGCCCTCAGCTCGGTTCTCCTGTCTGGACTCCGTGTGACCGAAGTCACTGCCAGACTCATAATCGTTCACTTTGTAGGTGAAGTCGTAGTTTGCTGGCTCCTGGAAGATAAGGAAGATGATTGTTCAGGATACCTAGATTTTACATCTTTTGTTGGTAATGGCGATTAGACTTTAAATGATAGGTACTTGTCATCCGGTGACTAATTTGTATGGAAATAATAATCAAAAAATATTTTTACATAACATAACATCACGGCTTTTATCCCCAAAGGTATAGGCAGAGGTGCAAATTACGGCACTTATTGCCATTATACAATGTAACACCCACTTTTTACTATTTATGTTATGAGTCCCATGTAAAAGGAGGTGAGCTAACGCCGTATACTGGGCACAATTCCAGATTCCGTGTTACTTACTACTAAGATTTTTTTTTAAATCCAGCACTTACTACTTTTCCCGACCCGGGAATCGAACCCGAGACCCCTTGCCAGGTAGTCCCACTTGCGACCACTTGGCCAACGAGGCAATTAAATATTTTTATAAAACACTTTTTTAAAACTGTTTATCAATAAATTCATATGATTTTAGATGGGCAAATACTTACTTGGTTGACAAGTTCATCAAGAGCACCCCTAGCGTAAGAGTAACCCTGGCTGTTCTGGTTGTTGTACTGGTCCGGCACTCCGTACTGCTCTGAGGGCATGGAGTCGCGAGCTGAAGGAGGTCCATAAGTGTCTGAAGGTGAAGAAGACCTGAAAATGGAAATCTTTTTAGAACTGATCTAAGTGATGTAAAGGTAAGTCATTTTTTTGTTTTTTACGCTTTTGCTCAGTGGATCGGCCTCATCGAAAGAATAAGAGAAGATACTAAGACTAAAGGAGATCAACGTTCGGTCAACGAATTTGGACCAACCAAAAGAATGGGGAAGAGCTGGTAGCCTCAAGATGAATGTGGACATTTTCCAATATCAAAGCTAAGAAATATTTTGGGTCACTGAGCCAACATAGTAAGTATGAATATACCTGGATGCAGCAGAAGAATAAGACGAAGCAATAGCACTGGTCTTCTGATTAGCAGCACGACTCGACGGTACTCCGTACTCCTGGGATAGACTCCTCGCGTTGGGCACTCCATAAGTATCTGACACATCACGCTGGGTGGGCGCGCCATACGTCTGAGATAAAGCCTTCGCGGTTTGGGAATAAGAGCCAGAATTCCTCGCACTTGGAGCACCATAGGTAGTTGATGGGGAGCGCGAACCAAAAGACGAACGACTTTCCCCACGAGGTTTGAAGGAACGGGCTGCATTACTTCCGAAAGATTTCGCAATACTTCTGGGGGTGGTAAAGCTGTGAGCATCAGCTGATCTGGATGAGGGAGCTCCATACTCTTGAGATAAGGAATTGGCAGAGAAGGAAGAGCTACGGGAAGTTGGTGGTCCATATTTCTGGGACGGCGAGCGCGAACCAAGGCTCCTTTGAGACGGTACTCCGTATTCTTCTGACGGGGTTGAGCGAAATTCAGGTGGCCCGTATTGGGAAGAAGGTGTTTGTGAACGAGCTGATGGGGGACCGTATTCTTGGGATAAAGCTGATCTAGCTGAAGGTACGCCGTATTCTTGGGACAAGGATCTAGATGAAGGAGTACCGTACTCTTGAGATAAGGATCTAGCTGAAGGTGCACCATATTCTTGAGATAAGGATCTAGATGAAGGAACTCCATATTCTTGGGACAAGCCGCTTCTTTCAGCAGGTACTCCATACTCTTGAGACAAAGCGGATGGAACACCATATTCCTGCGACAAGCTCCTCACAGCTGGTGCACCATATTCTTCTGAAGGACTGCTACGGGCACTGGGTACACCATATTCAGTTGAAGGTGAACTACGAGGGTTTGGTAGACCATACTCGGTTGACAAGCTTCGTGATGATGAAATATCGCTAGGCACTCCATATTCCTGGGAAACTCCACTCCGTTGACTTGGTACGCCATAAGTTTGTGAAGGTCCTGATCTTGTGTTCGCAGTTCTGGCGTTCGGAGGTCCATATTCAGTTGAAAGAGCGTTTCTTGAGGATCCGAAAGACCTGGTAGGAGGTCCGTATTCTTGGGACAGGGATCTTTGGAAGTCCTGGCTGTGATCGTGCTCATGGTCATGGTCGTGGTCGTGATGATGACTGGAATGAGGGTAGCCGTCGCTGGAATTTAAAAATTAAATATTATGCTTTATTTATGGCATATAAACCGGTAAACGAGCAGACGGGTCACCTGATGGTAAGCAATCGGCGTTGCCCATGGACACCTGGAACACCAGAGGCGTTACAACTGCGTTACCGGCCTTTTGAGGATTAGGAGTTTGAAGATCGTTGGGGATTCAGGAATTTGGGAGATTGGGGAGGGTAATTGGGCCTCCGGTAACCTCACTCACACGACGAAAAACAACGCAAGCGTTGCTTCACGTCGGTTTTCTGTGAGGCCGTGGTTTCACTTCGGTCGAGCCGGCCCATTCGTGCCGAAGCATGGCTCTCCCACACTTGCTTTCATTCGGCTCGGAAGGTTACGAATAAGGTTTGCAATTGTGTAGTCATTTACAAATGTTTTAATAACTAACGTATTTGTATATTTATAAAAATTGTATTATTGTCTTACCCGACTGGAGGTTCGGCGAGGGCTAGTGCCGCGATGCATATCATGGGTAGAAACACCTGGAATAACGAAAGAAAATCTAAATTGTATTACCATGGGTTATTAAAAATGTCGTATTTTGTATTGAACTCTAGTGAGAGATATGTTTTAATATTAACTATCGTGAGACATACTAGATTATTATTAACTAAAAATCGGTGGTTACTCACGTGAACATACTGAGAAAAGTTCTACTAGTTTCGAACCACATCGTTGCGACCGCGCCCCCTATGGTTCGAAACTATAAGAGCTTTTCTTAATACATTGACGTGAGTAACCCGCGATTTTTAGTTAATTAAATAGAGATATTTTATTTTGCAATGTAATAGGTGTTTAATCTCTTGGGATGTGTCTGGTACTGGTACTTAGTAGTTGGAACTCTAGAGCTGGTTTAATTAGAGTATGCAGCGTCTTATTATAGGTGATGATGGCAGCCACTAGGATTGTATTAGAGAGTTGAAAACCCCCATATTTAGATAGTGTTTCTCTCCCCAAAAAGATAATTATTCTATTGCTATTCTATTCAACGTCAACGATCGTTACATTGTTTAAGACTTTACACAACAGATGGCGGTGATTATACGAAATGAAAATTAAAACCATAATAATGAAATTTTGCAGCGAATGTGTGAAGAATTATCTACATGGAATTAATTTAATTAATATTTTTTCTTACCTTCATAATTCTGTTGTCAGATTTAAATCCAAATTTAACTGAAAAATAAAATAATTGTTAGAAATAATCAGTCGGCCTATGTCAGTATTTAAGTACTATGCTGTTTTATTGTATACAAATAGAACTTTGAATACTTTTTACTAATTATTAGTAAACCATTCAGAAATGTTATTTTTGCAAGATTCATTCATTATTAAGTTTATTTATTGTGATTACTTTTTCAAAGACTGTTATTCTTATTATTAGCCTTGTGATTTCCTTTTTTGTTTAAGAATATCTACACTTAGGTAAATAATATACAAAGCACCAGCTTTTCTTTAGGACGCCGTAATGGGCACGGTTTTTATCTTTTTACACTTAATAGTTTTTCTCAAAAATCCACTTATAACCACTAGTTAGAAACCTATCAAAAACAACTCAGTAGTTTTTGATTTCATTTCTAATATTTGTAATGTGACACTTTTATTATAGCTCTCAACTCGAAAAATCTGTATAAAACCCGTTATTTTTCAAAAATATATTCTGCACAATTAACTAAGAACTCTACCTACCCTCTTAACCGAAGATGTTACTACAAACAGTTTAAACTTGGAATGGTAACATCTTTAAATGTTCAACTATTTATACACACAAACTTAACAATACTAGGCAATTTACAAACTTAAATTGACACCTATCTTCATGCTATGCTTTTGGATAACCGACTGTAAGGCTTTGTGATAAGGTTGTAAGGTTATTTTATTGGTTGTGGTGTTATGTTGGTGTTGGAATCTCATTGTGGGGTGTGCAACACTTTGATCTGAATATTATTCGATTGGACTTGAAGCAAACTGCGTTTAGAAGTACCTATAGGTAGAATTATATGTATGTGATTAAAATTCTTCGATTTTAAAGAATATATGCACATAACATCATGCCTTTTATCTCCGAAGGAGTAGGCAGAGGTGCACATTACGGCACTTAATGCCACAGTACAATGTAACACACACTTTTCACTATTTATGTTACGAGTCCCATGTAATAGGGGGTGAGCCTATTGCCATATACCGGGCACTATTTCAGACTCCATGCTACTACTGAGAAATTCGACCCAGGAATCAAACCTGTATACTAAATTCACATTTACCTGCTTTAAGTAGGCTATTATAAATAAACAGCAAACATTCGTGACCACTCCTATAAGTTTCCAAAGATGTCGTCAACGCCGATTAACCCGTCGATCGTCAGCGTTCCTTATGATCTAACGGGTGCACACGTGACATTTGGAGAAATAAAGAAAGAAAATGCATTTATTTGACCATTGGCACACGAGTTAATAATACGATGAGTTACGATGAGTTAATAATAGATTTTATAAAAGAGAAAGCAGCATGGAGCATTTTTTCTTATGATCCGATAGCGAGGGGTTAACAGCCGAAATGAATAAGCTATCCAAGATCCCTGCATCGTTCATTTTTTTTAAACAAACTTCATAACATCACAACACGCCTTTTATCTCCGAAGGGGTAGGCAGAGGTGCACATTACGGCACTTAATGCCAATGTACAATGTAACGCCCACTTTTCACTATTTATGTTATGAGTCCTGTGGAATAGGGGGTGAGCCTATTGAAATGATTGAAATTAAGAATTTCCATAAAACTATAAGTACAAAGTCGGTCTTAATCCACTTTTAGATAAAGATCAGTTATAGTTAGACTTTAACTATATTTTTTATTGGATAAGCCGGTAAACGAGCAGACGGCTCACCTGTTGGTAATCAATCGGCGTCGCCCATGGACACCTGGAACACCTGAAACACCAGAGGCGTTACACTTACAATTACAAGTGCATTACCAGTCTGATGGGGCTTAGGAATGGAATTTGAGGATTGTTGAGGATTCAGGGATTGGGGAGATTGGAAGTATGGGGAATAATTGAGCCTCCGGTAACCTCACTCACACGACGGAACACAGCGCAAACGTTGTTTCACGTCGGTTTTCTGCTCGGCCGTGGTATCACTCCGGTCGAGCCGGCCCTTTCGTGCCGAAGCATGGCTGTCCCACAGTTGAACAGAAACCAGGCAACAACGATCTCTGATAAATCTGAATATACATACGTAACTTCACCCCTGTCTCCCATGAGGGTAGGCAGAGACTATGGAACGTCAAGTACGATGATTCCTACATACCTCTTTCATTTCATCAACGATCATCAATCTTTTCATGCATGCTCGTCGGTTAAGGGTACTTTTAATTTGGCTTTTCTTTAATATATCGCCAATCTGGTCAGTATATAAATCTGAACATTGTTAGACAGTGTATTTCATTCCTCCTACAGAGCGTGGAGGTCTTGGCATATTATTTTATGTAAAGCAGGCATGTTCAAAAGTGGACTGCCTCTAATTATTGATGATGATGACATTGAATCCTTACCTATCTTATTTTATATACTTATATTAGCGACCCGACCCGACTTCGCACGGGTGCTATGTACATGTATTGTACATATAAACCTTCCTTAAGAATCGCTCTATCTAATAAAAAAAAACCGCATCAAAAGCCGTTGCGTAGTTTTAAAGATCTAAGCATACATAGGGACAGACAGTCGGCGGATAACGACTTTGTTTTATACGATGTAGTGATAGTGATAGTGATGCTACTGTATAAAGCTGAAGAGTTTGTTTGTTTGATTGTTTATTTGTTTGTTTGTTTGAACGCGCTAATCTCCGGAACTACCGGCCCGATTTCAATAATTCCTTTTGTGTTGGATAGTCCATTTATCGAGGAAGGTTATAGGCTACAAGACATCACGCTACGATCAGTAGGAGAGGATCACGAAACAGGAGAAAATCCCAGTGTGGGGCAACGTTTTAAAAAAAAACTTTACACTATCTATAGGTACCTAATTTAGGTGAGGTCTTACGATGTATTTCACAGCCGATCTTAGGGCATGTCGCAACACTAAATTGTGGCGCATCGAACGACATAGCGACGTTTATTGAAGTTATGGGATGTGGTGCAAAGCGTGAGAATCTTGATTAGATTTCGTTATTAGTTCATAGACATGTGTATGATGAAAACCGTGAAATTAAGTATGTTTATAGCGCAATGGCTGAATGATCGGATACTGAGTAATGTGCCGCGGCTTCAATACAGTATTTGACAACTAGTCAAACTTTTTTCGAACTGTCAAAAACGACAGTTTTCTATGAATTTTGTACGAGATTGTGAATTATAATAAAAATAATACAATACCTAAATTGTTTTTATTTGGAACAACATAGGAACCATTTTGTGTTAGTATGTTTCTTTTAAACTACAGCTTAAACACTAGGGCTAGTAGTAAGTAACTTTAAACAGTAGGTACATTATTTAATGCGTCATGTAACATTATTTGCGCGTTATAGCGTTTTTTTTAATTGTTGAAATTGATTGTTAAATTAGTATATCATCATGTTTCATGTTTTCCTCAAGACATATACTTCTCTGTTTTTAATAAAACTTAAGCCTAATGCTCACCACAATTTGTACGCCTCCGGGTAGGTATAGCATAGCGCTCTTTTTTATTACCATATATAAGACCTATATCTGTATGCACCTATGTTAACAAATAAAAGTGATTTGATTTGATGTACTTACGAGGCCCTTCCTACGGACAATGAAGCCGCATGAGATGCCTCAGCACAGACGCTCTCGGGTCCTCAGCCACGAGTTTCAGGATGCTATTGCCACTCCCCCGAAGCCTCCCCACAAGCGATGCCACTATTTTCCTGACGACGGTCTGGAAACCATCTGTACCTATCTTCGTTGTGTAATTGTGTATTGTGACGTCACGTTTTTTAGCGTCAAAAAGCGTAGGTACTTAATTCTTAAAAAATTGCTGGAAAAATACTAAAATTAAGTTAGTCATAAAATCAATTAATGAAAGTGTGATTATATTTTTTATAATCAACAACAGTTGAGGACAAGAACTATTGATCTGTAGATAACTAACATACAAAATACCGATAATTTGGCCGAATCTATTTCAAAGACTAAGCATGGACTCCAATTGTCCTTTTTTTCTGACCTCATTCCACAAAAGGTTAACGAAAAATAAATATAGATAAACCGGTTCATAATATCCGGAATCTATTGAATAACAGTTTCTATTCTCAACTTCAACAACAAACAAGTTCAAAAAATCCTAATTACTATACTACTACGTTCGAAAAACCGGATCCACGTATTGTCTCCTAGAAGCGGAGTATCATCACGACTTGAACAATAGAGGTAATCTATTAAGGGCAAGGACATTTCTTGATTACAAACTTAAAGCAAACAAAAGATCGAATTGTGTGACTCGCTCAAACAAATGACAATCCATTGGCGGATGAAGAAACCTGTTGTCATTTAAACCTCTATTTTAAACCACATTTCTGCTTACCTTCATCCAGATACAGCGTGATAATGTTTTAAGAAAGTATAGTTTGGAAGTTTCCCTATAAAACTGTGTTTGTTTCATCGAAATCAGTTTCATAGCTTCCGAGTTATTGCCATTTTTAAAAACTGTAACTTGCTTAAAATATGCACATAATATGTTTAACCAATTTTTCTCATAACAATATGACACTTGTTGACTATAAGAGCTATTTTCGTTTGTTGTTTCTGTTACGGTGTGGTATTGTTAAGTTTAATATATGTTAGGTTACAATGAACGGCGATAAGTGAACTCTTGACTGGTGGATGGCATCGTTAAGTAGTTAAACTGCCGTTAACTTCATGTTAAGTACAGCATTAATCAACGTTAGTCTTTTTGTAAAGCATACAGGGTCGGTATTTAGGCGTTAAAGACAAATATGGCTTCGAAATTGCCTTTCGTTATTTAAAATCGTAATGGATTGCCAATAAGAACAGGAATATCAGCTAATGTCTTAAACCTCGGAAGCTCGCGTCACATCCTGCGGCTTGAGAAGATAGGTAAGAAGCACATTCTTGTAAATACCTACTTTCGTGTTATAGAGAGAGGGAGAACAGGATTAACATTTTCATTCATCCTACACCTACTCAACTACGGTTTATTTTATCTTAACTAGTCCTTGTCATAAATGCTAACCAAGGTTTAACTAATCGCTCGTTAACCGTCCTACGGTGTAATCAGCCCTCATTAAGCTCTAGGACGTCAAATGAAAGGTGTCACTAGTCTCGATTGCTTACATTACACTGCCCATTATAACTTGAGCTGCGATTGCGACACCACTCTTTATGAACACGGGTCACACTCACGATAAATCCATTTAATTAATGAGCTTTCATTGAATTTTCAATGTTAATGTCTCTTGGCCAAACTGTTGGTGTTATTTCAAGGAGGGTAAGTGAATTTGTTTAATGTAGGAGGAAGGTATATAAAAGGGTTCAAGTTGTGTGAGTTATCATTGTCATGAATCTACTATCTATAGTCAGCTAGATGGCATTGTATCAGCTCGGTACATAGCCACGTAGGATACTTTTTAATCTAGTTGATATTGTATTGATAACAAAATAAAACAACCACAAATGCTTGATCAGTAGGTACATTGTATTAATATCATACTAGACTCATACAGGCAATCCAGTTTCCTTGTCATATACCTTCAAAAACGCGTGCACATGGAAACCGAACTTAATTCTCTCTGTTATAGTCTTCTCATTGTCCATATTCCCAGATTTCATAACATCCTGGATCAATGGACCCCAAAAGTGATGACCCCTGTAGGGCCTTTTATAATTCACTGCCAAATTCCCAACTAGGCTGGCTTTATGAATGACTTCTACTTCCAAAAAACCTGCCTTCGCAGATAACACCGCGGTTACAGCTTGTCCTGGCTTCAATTCAGTTTCCATTCCACTACTTGAACCAATCGTTTGGGTTTTACTTTTCTCCTCACTAACACCCCATCTATTAGCAAACGAAAAACCAGTTACGCCTTTAGCTTTTGAAAATCCAACGTTAAACTCGTATTCAATCTCTTGAGAAACCGTATATTCTTTTTCCTTAGACCAACTTGTTGTTAGAGTATTTTCCACACTCTGTGTGATCCCTGTATTCACTTTTACCGTTTGGTTGGATAAGTTTTCAAAGTCATGTGACAGCACTATGACTGGTTCCATAGATATGCGCGTTACTCTAGCCGATTTTATAGATAGAACTCGCATCACTGGCTGCCAGCTGTATGTTTTGTACAGATCTCCCCAAGGCGTCGGACTGCGAAGGTAGACATCTTTAGGCTCCTTCCCTAAATGCTGTTTCACAGCATTATGTAATCTTTGTACTTTGAACAGATTGATGTCATTATCCGATATTAAATCTAATTCCGATCCTGAATAGCTTATGTTAACTTTCTCATCTTCATCCACATTTATATCAATTTCAATACGTCCAGTCACAACTTTTATTAAAAGCACCAACACTATAACTTTGTAGTCCATTTTTATAGTCTAAAAACCACTGATTCTTCCAAATTTTGTGATGATACTGACTAATTTGTTGATTGTCTCACTGACCTGTGTGAACCTCAGTTTTTCGTCACTGAGGAAGTGATAAACGGGCAAAATCTAACTCTATGTATAGCTGTTGTTTAAATATAACTACGCTTCTTCCCTACTGATAATTATGATTATGCACATGAAGATAAAAAGGTCAAGATCGAGTTCTTGAAACTATAAACAGTTCACTCTTATTTATTATTGAAACGTATTAAAGTTTATACCTATAGAACTCTTAGAAAATTGTGATTGTAATAATTATAAAATGTTAGTGCTGATTTTATTAATACTACCAATAATTGTAGACGGACGAATAGAAGTTGATATAACAGTGAAATCAAATGATACAGACGTTACAGTAAATGCAAGTTATACTGGCAGTGATCACAAACTAGTTACTGATGACGATTTAAAACTGTTCAATGTCACCATGGCGAAACTTAACAGAGGAATGCGAGTAGAACTGGGTAAAGTACCAGACAACATATTCATAAGAAATCCAACACCCTACGGAGATTTATTTACAAAATTCAAATGGGAACAAATGAAACGAAAATTAACTATTGTTAGGACTAAGATCATAGATATTATCAACCAAGATATAGTGCTAGATACACATGAACATATTAATAACACAACAAATATAGTAACAGCTAAAAGAAGTATGTATAAAGTTATGGATAACAGTATAAGTTCTACGTGGTCAAAGACAGGACTACCGGGAGATAATGCTCATACAACTTTCATCCTTAATTTTGAAGATGGAAAGGCTGAAGTCGTGAATCAGTGGAGGAATGAAAGCACGAAGAATTTTAAAGTGTCTTTGGAGATCAGTTGTTATTAGTGAAACAACTTGTTGTCGTAGATCGAATGAATTTATTAGCCGGAGGTGGTTGTTTTTATACAAAAATTGGTACTAGTGCTACTTACAACTAATTCTGTACATTAACCAATTAAAACTATTAAATTAAAAATAAATAAAATTTAGAAATTTGTACACCAATAACATCGCCTAAATTATAGCCAATAGCGTTACACTATTTAGGACAGAACTTTATTTACAATGTGAACAATGGAAAGAAAAGGATAGCCGATAAAAGAGCGAGATAGTCGATGAGTGAGAGGTCCGTGCAAAGAGGACGCGCCTCCGCAGCGCCGCGCGCTGAGTTTCGCGCCGCTATAAATATTGCGTAACGCGTGCCTCTGTCCTTTCCTCCTGCGACCGTCGAGCCGTGAAGATGTAAACGCCGTGCGCCGTGCCGCGCTGCGATACCTACGCGCGTTGGTCGGCGCGTGATACTGGCAGCGGCGTCGGCGAGTTACTTCGTCTCTTGTAGACAGAAGATCAAAAACGTTCAGCAAAATAGCTCTTTTCAGAGCTTTCTGTGTTAACAGAGCATATCAAAAACGTGAAATAAAATAGCTCTTCTCAGAGCTGTCTGTGTTAACAGAGGTGGTCAAAAACGTTGAATAATATAGCTCTTTTCAGAGCTGTCTGCTTCTTGGTTTCTGTTAAACGATGGTCTAAATCCTTGTAGCTTGTGCTATGGCTAGTGTGGCTACAGTACTCCCCCTCAAGCGAAGCGTACCGGCAGTTTGACGACACGACCCGAGCGAGTTTTCTTATCGCCGGGATGTGACGTTGCTGTTGGTTGCGGTACATGTGTTTTCTTGGTAATCTTGCTGGTTTTCTCGGTAATGGTGGTTGAAGGTAATGGTAATTGCTTGGTAACGCTGGGTTGAGGTAATGTGAAGGTAACTGTACTGGAGGTTGGAGGTAAAGTATCTTGAATGTCTTCGGTGAGTATAAATGCAGGCTTCAATCGGTCGATTGATATATTTGCTTGACGCTCTGGTAATTGTACTGTGTATACCTTCTCAGTACGTTGTAACACTCTGTAGGGTCCTTCGTATGGTGATTGAAGTGGTTTTTTTACTGCATCTGTTCTTATGAATACGTGGCTGCACGTGAGTAGGTCTTGATGCACGAATACGCTTTTATTGCTGCTGTGATGCTTCGTAGGTACTTGCGGTTTGTTTTGTTGAATTATATTACGTAGGTTGTCAACGTAGGTATAATCCAAAGTAGCAGGTGTGCAGGTGGTACTTGTAGTGAAAAATTCGCCAGGTAGACGTAGATTGTAGCCGTAGGTAAGTTCGGCGGCACTCACACCTGTGTCTGAGTGTAGCGCGGCTCGAAGTCCTAGTAGTACAGTAGGTAGTACGTCGGTCCATGTACTTGCGCTCGCGAGTTTGGCGCGTAATGCAGTCTTGAGTGTTCGATGCCAACGTTCAATTATGCCGTTGCTTTGTGGATGATATGGTGTAGTACGATTTTTCTTGATTCCCATTAATTTAGTTAGGTTTTGAAATAGTTGACTCTCGAACTGACGACCTTGATCACTTGTGATGGTAGTCGGGCATCCAAATCGGGCGATCCAGTGTTGGTACACAATATCGGCGATTCTAACAGCTGATATTTCGTCGGTAGGTATTGCTTCGGGCCACCTAGTTAGTCGGTCGATCATCGTTACTAAGTACCTGTGACCTTGAGGTGTTGTAGGTAGCGGTCCGACGATATCAATGTGTAGGTGTTGGAATCGCTCGGTTGGCGGGAAAGATCCGACGTTCGAGTGCGTATGTCGTTGTATCTTGCTTTTCTGGCAAAGTATACAAGTTCGAGTCCAGCAACCGATGTCTGCGTTCATTGATGGCCAGAAATATTTTTGAGTAATGAGTTTGCGAGTCGTGCGTGTACCGGGATGACTGATGTTGTGTACACTGTCAAATACTTGTTTTCTATATGGTTTAGGTATGTACGGGCGTACATAAGAGGTCGATGTTTCGCAGTATAGTTCGATGTCGCTGTTAGGTATAGGTATTTTCTTCAAAGTTACGTTTTCTTGTGATAACAGTTGTTTAATGTTGCTGTCCTTGTCTTGCGCACTCGCTATGTCGTTGTAGTTGATTGCAGATGGGAATGTGATGGATTCTATGCGGCTTAGGGTGTCGGCAACAATGTTGTCTTTGCCGCTCACGTGTCGAATGTCGGTGGTAAATTCACTGATGAATAGTAACTGTCTTGTTCGCCTCTGAGTTTCGGAATTTGATTGAGTCTTGGACATCACATATGTTAGCGGCTTGTGGTCGGTGAATATGATGAGATGGCGACCTTCGAATATCTTCCGGAAATGTTTGACTGCCATGTACATTGCAAGTAGCTCTCGATCGAAAGTGGAGTATTTCTTCTGCGCGTCGTTGAATTTCTTGGAAAAGTATCCGAGCGGTTGCCACGTATTATGTAGGTATTGTTGTAGTACGGCACCGGCAGAGTTATCTGATGCGTCGCAGAATAAGGCGAGTGTTGCGTGATGAGATGGATGAGCGAGTAGAGCTGCGTTTATGATGCTAGCTTTACATTGCTCGAATGCTTGCGTCGCCTCTTCGGTCCACGTGATCGGAGTCTTGTCGCGCTTCTTGACGTTGTGTAGGTAGGCATTTAGTGGTGCTTGCTTCGATGCGGCGTTCGGTATGTGATCACGATAGAAGTTGATCATGCCGAGGAATCTTCTTAGTTCTTCGATGTTCGTTGGTTTCGGGTAATTAGTGATTGCTTCGATTTTGTGTTGCGGCGGCTTGATTCCATCAGCTGATACGGTGTAACCTAGGAACTGTACTTCAGGTTTGCCTAGGTTGCATTTAGCGGGGTTGATGGTAATGCCGTTGTCTTCTAAGCGTTTTAATACGGTGTGGAGATGTTCTCGATGTTGAGTTTCATTTTCAGATGCAAGTAGTAAGTCGTCGATAAATGGGAAAACAAATTCTAATCCTCGTAGTACTTCATGTATGTAGCGTTGAAACGTTTGTCCCGCGTTTTTCAAACCGGGGCACATACGTGGGAATTCAAATAGTCCCATTGGCGTGATGATAGCGGTCTTCTCGACGTCTTCTTCTCGCACACTGAGTTGTTGATAAGCGCGGTTGAGGTCAACCGTGGAGAATATAGTTTTCCCCGATAGGTGGTGAGTGAAATCTTTGATGCGTGGCACTGGGTATCGATCTGGTATAGTGATCGAGTTGAGTCGGCGATAGTCACCACATACTCTAATATCGCCATTTTTCTTAGGCACGATGTGTAGAGGTGATGACCATGGACTCTTGCTAGGTCTGCATAGTCCTTGCTCAATCATATTTTCGAATTCTTTCTTCACTGTTTCGAATCGATGAGGTGGGATTGGTCGAGCTCGGCAATGAACTGGTGGTCCACGGGTTTCGATGTAATGTTGCACGTTGATGTTAGAGTTTAATTTCATTGATGTTAGTCTTGTTATGCCGGGATATTGTGCTAATATGTCGTGGTATGATTGTGACATATTGATGCTGCGTACGGTAGGTACGTCTGACACTCGTACCGGGGCGTTGACTTTTAGGCTCGTGACGCCGTCGATTAATCTTCCGTTTTTTAAGTCGACGATGAGTTGGTGATGTTTGAGGAAGTCTGCTCCGAGGATTGGCCTTGAAACATCAGCTACTATAAATGTCCACTTGTACGGACGTCGTAAGTTGAAGTCGAGAGTTAGTGTTCTCTCGCCATACGTAGCTATAGTTGTGTTGTTCGCAGCGTACAGTTTGAATGGTAGCGGCGTTCCAACTTCTCCTTTTCTTCTCGGTAGCACGGATATGTCGGCACCCGTGTCGACTAAAAAAGATAAGTTTGTGTTTCGATCGGTGATGTGTAGGCGGTGTGATTTCTCTTGAACGCCGGTAGCCGCCTCCGCCAACGTTCGGTTTAGTTTTCCGAGGTCGTTGCTTTGAATGAGCAGGGAGGTGTGCAGCGTCGAGCTTGTTCTTTGAAGCGCCGATGGTAGTAGCAGAATGGTGAAGGTGATGATGAATCACGATTCCGTGAACGTGACGTGCTGCGTGTGCGTTGCTGAGATGGGTAACGGCGGCGGCGGTAGTCGGGGTTGTATGCTGGTCTTGACTTTAATTCGGCGATCTCCAATGATAATTTTCTTATCTCGTTGATAAGGTATTGTGTATCGGTGTGTGATGATGACGTGGACTGTGCTGGTGATGGTTGTATTGCTGAGACTTCTGTAGTTGACGCGGACTGCTCCATCATTTTGTCAGCGAGTAGAGCGAGCTCTTCCAGCTCAGTTTTTGTGCTAAATGATTCGCTGACGGCCAGGACGGATCTGATGTGTGATGGCAAGTGGTTGGTCCACATGAGTCGTAACGTGGAGTCAGGGACCTTGTCTCTGGCTAGGTTACGCATGCGGCGGAGTAGCTGCGTAGGCTTCTGATCGCCGAGTTCCATCTCGGACAGTAGTTTCTGGAACTGTCGGCTGTCGGACTCTTCATAGGCAGATATGAGACGTTCCTTGATTGCGTCGTATTGATTCGTCTCCGGCGGGTTGTACAGGAGGTCCATGATTTGCTCGATGTCTTGACGTTCGAGCTGTGCGATGACCATCTGGGCGAGCTGAGCCTGTCCCTTCTTCATGTCGTTGGTAGCTGCTTCGAAGCTAATAAACCATAGACGTGGTCGGTCACGCCAGAATGGTGGAATGCGCATTGTGAGGGATATGCCAGCTGTTTCCGTCTTCGCTACGGTGTGGGTTAGGTCTTCCGTCGGGCAGGGATTTGCCATCTTGATGTTGGATAATAATTAATTTTCTTCCAGCAGGGATTCGTTCTTCCAGCAGGGATTCGTTCTTCCAGCAGGGATTCGTTCTTCCAGCAGGGATTCGTTCTTCCAGCAGGGATTTCTTCTTCTTCTTGCTGTTCTTGCTCGGGGTCACCACTTTGGAGATCGGTTGTTATTAGTGAAACAACTTGTTGTCGTAGATCGAATGAATTTATTAGCCGGAGGTGGTTGTTTTTATACAAAAATTGGTACTAGTGCTACTTACAACTAATTCTGTACATTAACCAATTAAAACTATTAAATTAAAAATAAATAAAATTTAGAAATTTGTACACCAATAACATCGCCTAAATTATAGCCAATAGCGTTACACTATTTAGGACAGAACTTTATTTACAATGTGAACAATGGAAAGAAAAGGATAGCCGATAAAAGAGCGAGATAGTCGATGAGTGAGAGGTCCGTGCAAAGAGGACGCGCCTCCGCAGCGCCGCGCGCTGAGTTTCGCGCCGCTATAAATATTGCGTAACGCGTGCCTCTGTCCTTTCCTCCTGCGACCGTCGAGCCGTGAAGATGTAAACGCCGTGCGCCGTGCCGCGCTGCGATACCTACGCGCGTTGGTCGGCGCGTGATACTGGCAGCGGCGTCGGCGAGTTACTTCGTCTCTTGTAGACAGAAGATCAAAAACGTTCAGCAAAATAGCTCTTTTCAGAGCTTTCTGTGTTAACAGAGCATATCAAAAACGTGAAATAAAATAGCTCTTCTCAGAGCTGTCTGTGTTAACAGAGGTGGTCAAAAACGTTGAATAATATAGCTCTTTTCAGAGCTGTCTGCTTCTTGGTTTCTGTTAAACGATGGTCTAAATCCTTGTAGCTTGTGCTATGGCTAGTGTGGCTACATGTCTGTTGGTATAACTAATAAAGGTTTGATAACGATTGTACCAAAACAGACGGCAGTTACGAAATTAATTGTTTCAAGAACAATAATCCTGATTGAGATAACATATAAGGCTGAATTATCAGGGAGTGTGATAGGTAATTACGCTGAACTTTATGGAAAATACCATTATTGGGCTCCAGCTGTCAAGAATATTTTAAAAGCTGCTAAAGTAAAAAACGAAATTTTTACGACAGAAATTGTTGAACTTAGATGCTTTACCAGACCTCGATTGGCAATTTTCGACAAAAAAACAGATGGTGCTGTAGAAACCAAAAGGAAGAGACCTCGTATGAAAATTATACGAAATAATAATCAAACACGGATTATTTACACCAAAACTAAAAAGCAAAAGAAGACTAAAAAGTATCTGCAATTAAATATTTAGATAATAACAATACTGTGTTTTATTTATGACGATCTTCTCATATATTTTTTTCTTTTTAAGGAGGAAAAATCATCGAATGATTTCTCCCACTTGGGTGAGGCGGGAGGGAGTGTCAGACTCTTACTGATTAAAATTCAAATCGTTTTTACTCCTGACCTTCGCGCCGGAGGCCTGGCGGGTTGCCCCCATATCGGCATCAGCCCTATTGGGCCCCATCTGTGGTGGTCTCAAACTGATGGCACTTTGAGGCACGAGCGGAACGCGACGCGCCGTAAGCTCGGGTATCTTATATGCATAAAGGTACAAGTTTCAAATTCTTTGGGTTCTTTATAAACTACTTTTATAAATCAAACTCCCAGTACAATCTACTTTCCAATGGCACAGCCACTAAAAAACAACTAGAAAATACAACTAATTACGAAGCTGGGTTTAATATTTTATGAAATATGAACTACTTTAATGAAATGTGCGTTTAATATTCATATTTTACTAACACTGGTCTTGTTAGTTCTTGTATTGTTTCTAAAATGTTTATTTTAGAAAAATTAATCGCTAATTATACACAGAAAATATTTTGATCATATTATTTCTAAACGACAATGTCAATGTCAATGGCAGATCTCAAAACACGAAGTCTTTATTCTGTCAAAATCAAATTGTCGTGTCAAATCAAATGTCGTCAAAAGTTCGAAGGTTCGATTCATGATTTGCAATAATTTGTATTAATTGACCGATAAAATAATAATCTAAATACTGAGTGGACGATGATTTCATGAATTAAAATATTAGCTTAGTCTCGACCCCGATTCAATTCATCATTTTAATTTATTTATCTGACGCAACCCGTCGTAGACTAACGCACGTAAACCATTGTGTACATTTATTTATTTTGTTGTTAATTTTTTCTAATAAATTTTGTGCGGTGTAGTTGTTGTTTTGTTTGCCTGCTTTTTTGTTATTGTTTTTAATAACTAATTATGGTAGAATTCCAAGGACTGTTCATATGTGTGCCTCTTTACACTGCTGGGTAAGTGAAATGTAACTTTTTTTTATTATTTTTTTAATTATACCATGTACTGGTCAAGATCACAAGTCATTCAGCAAGACCAGTAATCCTTTTTTTATTTTTTAATGGTGTTGCATGGATTTTTGCAAAGTGTGAAGAGAAAGTATGTGTGACCTAAAAGAAAGTTAATGATTACTTTCATTTCTTGCAAGTTTTGCAGTGTGTACTAGTTTTGCATGCATTGCATAAATCTATAAGAATTTATAGAAGACAATAAAAAAATTGTTTAATAGAACTATTCTGGAAATATTTTATAAGTAGAAATAAAATATAGGTACTTAATGAACTTACAATTATTACTAAATATTTTTAAATTAAAGAAATTGAATTAAATTTTAAAAATATATATCAAAATATGTAAAATAATAGGTAGATACAACTATACAAACTCTTTGAACTCCATTCAAGGTCAAAAAAATATTATCTGTTAAGAAATTAAATCTCTTTCAAGCAAAACAGACTATTAGCAAAACAATAGGCAGTATAAATAAATAAATAAACATAGAATGTTACCAGTAATAACATGAATGTCTCATGCACTTGCCACACTGTCTATCACCTGCTTTTTTATCTTAATTCTAGATAAAGAACAACTATTTGTGTTACGGACTTTAGTACGGACATTTTAATCCTGTATTATCTGTTATCGGAACTGTAATTAGTCTGATATGCTAATTTATCTGTGTATAAGGACAAAGGAGTGTTGTTAAGGGAACTGAACTACTTAATTTGTGTTTACTATAAATATTATTATTTTTATTATTTTCTTTGAGTCGTAAAAGAACATTGCTGTGGAAATCATTTAGTTGTCTTATTATTTTTTACACAAATACAAGTTTTGTAGAAGCCTACTACAATGCCCTTGGTGTAAGTTTATTTTTAAGAAAATAGAAAAAAAAAATCTCGGTTTCTAGTATCAAGAGATGGTAAAATCGTTTCTGTATTATTTTGTGTGTGTTAAATGGACCAAGAGGCCTGTTCCGCTCCAGTGCAGTTGGGGCCTAATATAAATAATAAACTAATTAACTACAAAAGTAAATAAATTAATATACATCATAAATGTTTAAAACATTAGATTTTGTTTTGACCTCTTGAAACAATGTTTGCTATTCTTAACCTTGACAGAGGATGTAGGAACCACAGTTGTAGGTACTTAGAGTTTAGAAGATACTGAAGCCTGCCCTTTGGTGGCTTGATATAGTGGTTGGTCAGAGGCAGATTATTCCCAGACTGCGTTCTAGGGAAGCACCTCATATCCGCTCTTATTTTTTTTGAGGGCCACTGCCACTTACTAATTTTACTATTGGCAATTGGGCATGCGTGTCTTGCAGTGCCCCTCTATAGCCTGGTGTCCTAGACCCTTGCCTAGTTTGCCTTAGGGATAATATGGCTGTATGGTTCATAGATAAAGTAATATAATGTTTTTTGTTCTTTCCAGGGTGCTAATACTAGGTGCTTCATTGTCTGCAAGTCTGTTTGTATTCCATGTAGCTGTAGTACCACTTATCTTCAAATATTCAAAGGGCTTTAGAAGAAATCTAGTTTTTGCTAATTTTGGTAAGTGTAAGCTATATATATGACGTAATTAACGCACACCCTCAAACACCCCAATTAGAATATTATGTTATACTCATAATACATACACAAAATTTTTAATTTAACATGTATATGCATCCTTACTGGTCTTGTCATAAGGTTTATTTTTCTTTATTTTGTATTGAAAGATAGAATTTGTATGAATACAAATAAAGATGCGATTTTAAAAGTCTTATTGCTTTGACTTACGGTCCATTTCGATTTGTTTTAACAATACAGGATTAATTATATGACAATAATTTCCGTAGTTTTTGGGATAAAAAATACTACCTATACTAAAAATTATATAAATCGATTCAGTTAACGATTCTGAACAACAAACTATTTTCAGGATGTGCGTTATTTAAGTTACATGTTGTATATATATATTATGTAAATTAATGTTTAATGACTCGATCACGAAGCTGTTTGGCATAAATATGTAAAATTAAGTACCTAGTTATAAATTATTGTGTAATCTTGCCTTTAGGTAAAAACTCATATGATATAATTAATAAATAAATAAAACATTAAAATTAATACAGAAGTATGTAGGAATAACGGGAGTTGGCGTTTCATAGTCTCTGCCTACCCCCATGGGAGACAGGCATGAAGTTATGTATGTATCTAAAGTTAATACACAGTTTTTATAATTTATAATTTCAAAAATGTAAAATTTTATTTTAACTAGAGCCAACGGTAAGACTGGAGCCATTTGTAAAATGGGTTGGACAAAATTACATTTTATTCTTAACACATAACAGAAACATAACATTACGCCCTTTACCCCCGAAGGGGTAGGCAGAGTTGCACGTTATGACACTTAATGCCACTGTACAATCTAAGACCCACTTTTCACTATAAATGTCATGAGTCACGTAATAGGGGGTGAGCCATGAGCCTATTGCCATATACCGGGCACAATTCGAGACTCCGTGCGACACTTGAGAATTAAAAAAAAATTATAGCAATCTTATTCTTAAGTGACCTAATTTTGGCAACTTTGTTTAAATAACTAATTTAAACTTCTAATTATACATTTTAAAATGTCCTCTAAACTGTATTTCTTCTATTTAAAAAGTAGACAATCAAATATGACCTTATAAATATAGAAACAAACAGAAACTTTAATTAATTATTTCAAACGTAAATAATATATAACAATAGTAAGGTCTCGTGTAGACATTCTTTATTTAATTAAGTACAATGATTTGTATTAATCAATCCTTCAATGATAAAATGTCATTAACATCATTGTCTTTATAAATACAATATAAATTGTAATCTTTACAAATCTTGCTATTAATGTAGCGATAATTTTACCTTCACACCTGTTAATCTTCCTAGGTGTAGGCAGAGATTATAAAAATACATAATTATTGGTACCTACATGTCTAGATACAAATTCTTATAGGCCATAACTAAACTAGCTAATTTCACGCGGTGTTTACCCGCTGCTCAGCTCCTATAGGTCGTAGCGTGATATTTTATAGCGTACTACCTTTCCTCGATAAGTAGACTATCCAACACAAAAAGAATGATTCAATTTGGACCAGTAGTTTTGTAGATCGGCGCGTTCAAACAAAGTTTTTATCTCATGTTAGTACTACGACGTCGCGGTTTCACCCTCTGCTCAGGCCCTATAGGTCGTAACGTGATATTTTATGGCTTATAAGCTTTCTTGATAAATGGACTATCAAATACAATTTAATAATAGTCAATATGAGCCGAGTAGAACGGGTGAAAGCATGCGGGGATAGTTACAAAAAGATTTTGTCAAATCGGACCAGTAGTTCCCGAGATTAGCGCGTTCAAACAAACAAACAAACTCTTCAGCTTTATATAATAATATGTATAAGATATTTAGGGTGAGGGTGCGGGTTCGAAACCTACCAACGGCAAGTACCAATGTGACTTTTTCAGAGTTATATGTACTTTCTAAGATTATTTAGACACCACTGACAAACGGTGAAGGAAAAATATCGTGAGGAAACCTGGACTTATAATTTCTAATTATAAGTTTGAAATCGCCAACCCGCATTGAGCAAGCGTGGCGATTAACGCTCTAACCTTCTCCGTGTGAGAAGAGGCTTTGCTCAGCAGTGGGCATTTATAGGCTGTTGATGATAAGATATTTAGAGTAGTTACATTTTCTCGAAGTCGAAGCTTTTATTTCAATTAAACCTTAATCAGGCACTTTGGAAACGTCAAAAATTGAATTGTCCGTCCGTCTGTCTATCAGTGAAGCTAGGCGCTCGTTCCAAAGTTTAGTTTCGAATGGAGAACAACAAGAAACTCACCTACAAAATTGTACCTACTGTATTAACTCGTCGAATACCGGTTTTGTAGACACAATTGTAGAACAATAGGTTGCGATCACCGGTGACCGCAACCTATTGTTCTATAATTGTGTCTATAATGACGGTACTCGATTAAAAGTAATTGCTATTTATAAGTCTCATAGAAGTAATAAAACTAAAATTAAAATATTTACAAAAACAAACGATTCTGAGTTTAGATAAGATGTGTGTAGGCCTGTAGGCTATGTGGTTGTATAAAAACGAAGTTGTAAACGTACCCTGCGAAACGATAGGTACTTAATTATAAAGTGGGGCCACATTTTAACTTCTTAATGTAAAATCCACAATATTTGTTCATACATAGTAGTCTCTAAAGATCGGAAATAAGGTTTATAATGGAGTAACTGGAGTGCGGTCACCAATGACTGTTCCTGGGGACTGGGCAGAAATAAAATTTGCGGGTACGTACATAATTAGATTTAGTTTAGTATATTTAAACACCGTCAGTCACCGGTGACCGCAACCTATTTTTCTTTAATTGTGTCTATAATGACGGTACTCGACGAGTTAATATTGACAGAAAAGGTTAGTTAAATGTTTTCGGCTTACTCAGGTAACTGAGGCCTTAGTACGAGTTTCTCTTACGTTGAAAGTAATCGAAACGAGAACGCGTTCGGCGTTGTGATTGGCCGGCTCCAATGAACCAACCAACCAGAGGGCCAGATGCCGTCTCGTTTCGATTATTTTAAACGAAAACGAAACTGTTTGACGAGGATCTCGACTCGTGAGTAAGGCGAATCTGGCGAATACATAAAAATTAATTTAATATGTCTAACGAGAGTTTTAATACAGACAGATAATGTGTTAACATAATCAATAGTGCTTTTTTTAGTGAATAAGTAGGTACCTATTGCCGGAATACTGAAACGTTACTCAATTTTAAGTCGTGCTCAAATATCGTGCCATCTCTGTCATTTTACAAAGAATTTGTAGAGATAGAACTATACTTAAGCACGACTTAAAATTGAGTAGCGTTTCAGTATTCCGACATTAGTGTTCGAAATTATAGATAATGGATAAGTAAGTAACCTTACAAAATTGCTCATTTTGATAGTTTAAATTGTTTATGTGACCTAAAGGTCTAAAAATGTTTATGAAAATTGTCTTTTTCGATTTCGTTACTGGGTGCCAGAAATTATTTGACGTTGATCTGGTGAGGACATAAAAATTATTATGATAACTTCTTTGTATAAATTGTGTACTAGGGTAGATGCCTAATTTTTATTTTATATCCGTCTGGTAGATTATTTTAAATCATTAGACACGTATTTTTTAATTTTCTTACAGAAATGAATACTTTGGACGATATATGATGATTTGAAATGTCACGTGACGTCACTTCTATGTACATTTTATTTGTAGAAATGACGTTTTAGCCCCTACTCCTAAACTTTGATTCGTTTTATATCTAAGTATTGTTTTATTATACGACAAAATAAAAAAATACGTGTCTTATATTTTTTCATTACCTTACTTACGGACTAATTAGATTTTTAATTTTCATACCCTGTCATCATCCCAATTCTAATAACGAAGATAAATAAAATTATACTGTGGTGTGCTCGATAACAGATATTGAGTTGATAGATAAAAACGGTTTTTCTTTTCTTGTCTCGTTGCTTTTTTGCTCGGAATTATAATACGACAAAATGAAAGTGTTCTAGTACAATACGGTAGTAGACAACTAGTCAAATTCAATACTTTTATCGAAACGTCAAAAACGATACTGTTCTATGAATTTTGTACGAAATACCATCTTATGACGTCATCATAATTTAGCGTCAACTAGCACACTTATATCTAAAAAAAATGCTAGAATAAATCGAAAATTAAGTATATCGGCAAATCAATGAATGAAAGTGTATCAATATCTAATTGGACTGAAAAATCATAATAATTTATTTGTAACCCAGGAAACTATCCAATTACATACATAGCTTTACGTCTGTCTCCCATGGGGGTAGGCATAGATTATGGAACGCCAATTGCTAGGATTCTTACAAACCTCCTTCGCTTCAGTCATCAGTCGTATAATTGATATCATTGTTATTTATTACTGAAGATACCACATGGCTATTGGCATATTAATTATATTATTTCGTTTTTGCAGTACAATGGCCGCCCAACACGGACTTCGAGGAGCCGATCGCATCTGGTATCGAGGGAGCGCGCAACCTTAGCATCGAGTACCAGTCCAAAGTAGACAAGTGCAATGTCAAGATTGGTACGCCATCTTTTTTTATAATAACTATCGCGTAACTAAGTTAACTAAAAGTCGCGGGTTACTCACGTGCAAATACTGAGAAAAGCTACTCTTTTCGAACCACAGAGGGGTTCTTCCTCATGAGCATCGTGCGATATCGATGTCTATATGGAGTTTCTTGCTCGTTCTTCTCCATTCGAATCTACATCTTGGAATGAGCACCTAGCTTCACCTAGTTTCACTGACGGACTGGCTGACAGACTATTATTTATTTTGTATTTGTTGACGTTTCAAAAGTACCAAACTATGGTTTAATTGAAATAAATGCTTTGACCTTGACTTTGAATTTGTCGCGGTGATGTACTGACATCTGGCTGCGCGAGTAACCCGCGACTTTTAGTTAAGCCTTCTTATATGGTAACAATGGAACTGTTCCTCCATATGAAATCTACGTTTTGCAACGAGTACTGCTAACAGACCAAATGACTGACAATGTCTTTGTTGTGTGACTGTTGCCAATAACATAACATAACATAACATCACGCCTTTTATTCCCGAAGGGGTAGGCAGAGGTGTACATTATGCCACTGGACAATGTAACACCCACTTTTCACTATTTATGTTATGAGTCCCATGTAATAGGGGGTGAGCCTATTGCCATATACCGGGCACAATTCCAGACTTCGTGCTACTACTGAGAATTTATAAAAACCCAGTAGTACTTTGCCCGACCCGGGAATCGAACCCGAGACCCCTTGCCCGGCAGTCGCACTTGCGACCACTCGGCCAACGAGGCAGTCTGAGGCTGTTACCAATCTATCACCCAAAAAGGCCGGCAACGAACTAGTGAATCCTTTAGCGATGCGGCTATCCATAGGTGGCGCCGATTGCCTTAACAATCAAGTGAGCCATCTGCTCGTTTATTATCCCCGTTCTCGAAAGTGTCAATAAATAATAAGCCTATTACAAAAAACCACGGATGGAGCCCAATAGGGCTAATGCTGATACGGAGCCGCGGAGAACCTAACGGGTAACCGGGGCTCCGGCTCGAAGTGCAGGTGTAGGAACGGGGTGGTTTTTAGTCAGTAAGAGTCTGACACTCCCTCTCGCCTCACCCAGGCGCGAAGTAATTCGAGGATTTTTCCTCCTTAAAAAAATACAAAAAAAAAATAGTAAATAAGTCCATTATATTTTTACTATTTACCATTTGCAGGTATCTGGCACATTCTCCCAAAGACAGCGTATGAGCGGCTGAAGGGTAATTTCGAGAGCAGCACGGACCGGGAGGAGCTGAACAAAATACTTGATGACGAGCTCACCAAGTCTAAGAATCCTGTCGTACTGTACTGTCATGGTAAGAGTCAGAAAGAGAATGAAAATAAGAGATAGAGAAACTATCTATATGGCGTGTCTGTTTTTGTACATGACTGCCTCGTTGGCCGAGTGGTCGCAAGTGCAACTGCAGAACAAGGAGTCTCGGGTTCGATTTGTGTCCGGTACATGGCAATAGTTTCACCCCCTACTACATGGGACTCATAATATAAATAGTGAAAAGTGGGTGTTACATTGTACAGTGGCATTAAGTGCCATAGTTTACACCTCTGTCTACCCCTTCGGGGATAAAAGGCGTCATGTTATTTTATGTGATGTTTTTGTACATATGTTTGTACGCGGTATTCTCCAATACTACTGGGTCGAATTGAAATGTTCTTTATTAGACCCATTTATCGGGGAATATTGCCATTTATAGGCTATAAAAGCGTCACGCTAAGATAAATTGCAACCGAGCAAATGAAACTGCGTGGAGAAGTAGCTAGTATATTCTAAACAAGATGAGGCCTTGGTAAGCATCACCAAGGTAAGTGCGTCGTAAGGACGGATCACCTGATGGTAAGCAATCCGCGACACCCATTAACACCTGTAACACCAGAGACGTTACTAGTGCGTTACCGGCCTTTTGGGGATTAGGAGTTTGAGGATCGTTGGGGAATCAGGGATTGGGGAAGTTGGGGAAGGGAGGGAGGGTATTTAGGCCTCCGGTAACCTCACTCACACGATAAAACACAACGCAAGCGTTGTTTCACGTCGGTTTTCTGCTCGGCCGTGGTATCACTCCGGTCGAGCCGGCCCATTCGTGGCGAAGCATGGCTCTCCCACACTTAATGTTTATATAAGCTGTACTACTGTAGTGTACTAGCTGTGCTGTACTTATAGTTTATTATTATTCGCAGGCAACTCGAACAACCGAGCAGCGTGGCACAGGATACAGCTGTACAAGTTCTTCCAGAAGATGGAATTTCACACAATCGCCTTTGATTACAGAGGTATAGGAGTTATTTATTTGTTGTTTGCACGACAATTCTTTAATATAGATCGGATGATAAATTGGTGTTACTACTAATATCTTATACTACCTACTATAAGAGCGACTGCCGAGCAAGGTGTCTCGGGTTCGATTCTCGGATCGGGCAAAGTATTATATTAAGTCTGGAATTGTGCCCGGTATATGGCAACAGGCTCACCCCCTATTACATGGGACTCATAACATAAATAGTGAAAAGTGGGTGTTACATTGTACAGTGGCATTAAGTGTCATAATGTGCACCTCTGCCTACCATCATATAAAGCTGAAGAGTTTGTTTGTTTGATTGTTTGAACGCGCCAATCTCCGGAACTACCAGTCCGATTTCAATGATTCCTTTTATGTTGGATAGTCCATTTATCGAGGAAGGTTATAGGCTACAAGACATCACGCTACGATCAATGGGAGCCGAGCAGAGCGGGTGCAACCGCGGGGAAGTAGCTAGTTATAAATACAAAAGCTTGTTTGTTTGTTTGTTACTCTTTCACGTCTAAACGGCTGAAGGGATAGAGATGAAATTCGGAACAGGGGTAGATTATGGTCTGTACTGACACATTTATCTATTTATATCTACTATGCTATTTATTATCCCACGAGACACGGGCGAAGCTGTGTAGTTCAATGCTTCAAATCTAGATGTTTAAATATTGTTTTTGTCCTATAATTTATACATTTTGATGAAAAAGAAAACTATTTAAAATTGATTAGATACAGTTTTAGTTCTGTTTTATAATTGAGATGATGACAGGGTATGAAAATTAAAAATCTAATTAGTCCGTCAGTTAGGTACCTAATGAAAAAATATTAGACACGTATTTTTTTATTATGTCGTATAAGAAAACAATACTTAAATATAATAAAACGAATCAAAGTTTAGGAGTGGGGGCTAAAACGTCATTTCTACGTATAAAATGTACATAGAAGTGACGTCACGCGACATTTCAAATTAATATATCGTCGAAAGTATTCGTTTCTGTAAGAAAATAAAAAAAAAAGGGTTCTAATGATTTAAAAAAATCTACCAGACGGACATTGAAATAAAAATTAGGCATCTACCTTATTATTGTTATAATTAAAAACAGACAGCACGATGCAACGTGTCGCAGGGTTCGGAAGGACTCTTTGTGTGATCCACAAATTGTTGTTTCGGGTCTGGGTGTCATATGTATGTGATATTGTATGTTTGTAAACGTACCCACGACTCAGGAGAAAAACGTAGTTGTGGGGCTACGTTTATAAAAACAATACATAATTATATATTCCAGGGTACGGCGACTCGACCAACATACGTCCGACGGAGGCGGGCGTGGTCGAGGACTCGCTCGTTGTATACGAGTGGTTGCTCAGTACGCTCGGCGGCAGTAACAAGCTGTTCGTATGGGGACACTCGCTCGGTAAGTAGTCATATACTGCTGGACAAACTATACTTGTTATTGTGGTTGGATTTTAGACGCTAAAGCTTTGTTACGTTGTCGTGGAGAGCCCAACGGATTATCGGGGCTCCGGCACGAAGCGTAGGAGAAAGAACGGGGTGGTTTTTAGTCAGTAAGAGTCTGACACTCCCTCCCTCCTCACCCAGGCGGGAGCAGTCATTCGATGGTCCCCCCCCCCCCTTAAAAAAGAGCTTTGTTACGTGTCCGTCCGAATAAATTAAAACTCTTCCTTGTGCGCACTGCTAAGGAGTAGAATTCTTTGCCAGAGTCTGTATTTCAACCTGGGGATCTTCAAGGCCCGAGTGAATAGGTTGCTTATGGGACGACATAGTCTATGACGGACTGAAATGATGATTCGTTTCCCAGCAGGCGAGATAGTGGTCAAACGTCGGCCCATCAAATATAATAAATGAAAATAAAATAAACAGAAATCCAGTACTGAAAATTTCCTTTATTACACTAACAGCCTGTACTTCTACAGTAACGGTGTAATAATAAATTAAATAATTTACGGTTTATTCGTATTACGAGAATTACCCGATTAGTTTCGAGCAACACCGGGAAGCTTAACTCGTGACGAGACACAATGTATTATCTATTCATCTACCGACACTCGAGAGGTTAATCATGAACCACATATGCCTCGTTGTCGCTAGGTACTCGGGGCCCAGAATCCACCTGATTCTAAAGGCAGCATCAATTTGATAATGAACACGGACCCATATACAAAAATACATTTTATGTTCTATATTCTTTTTCAGGTACAGCAATATCATCTCATCTATTAGGCAATCTACAAGAGCTGTCAGTGACACTACTAGAAAGATCTACCCCCCTCCCGCTACCCAGAGGTCTAATATTGGAAGCACCCTTCAATAACTTGGCTGATGAAGTCGCTAAGCATCCATTGTCGAAGGTAAATGGTGTACTTGGTAATGATGTAGTCTAAGGTCAAGGTCCTGAAACATGTTATTATGAAAAAAAGTATAATAGAATAGAATAGATCATTTATTTGCTATGAATGTAGGTACAAATTATTAGGTGTTACAAAATTTTAAGGTTCCTTGTACATTCTACCTTAATTGGCATGCAAATATACATTTTAAAATAATTTATCAAAACTTATCATCTAAGAACTCTTGTACTGAATAATAACACTTGTACAAAAGTAATTCTGTAACATGCTTCTTAAATTTAGTTAGTGATTGTTCCTTGATATTATTCGGTAACTTATTATAAACAAGTGGTGCCATACAAATAACACTTTTCCTTAAAAGAGCAGTTTTAAAAACACCCGTGCTTAAAAGATTTTTGTATTGAGATCTAATGCTTATTGTTCTATTTCGAGTTTCTTTCAAGGTGGTGAACAAGTGCGAATTTGTTTTAACAAATAGACATAATTCCAGTATATAAAGACATGGGAAGGTTAACAGTTTATGAGACTGAAATATAGGTAGACAGCTGTCAGTTACTTTTAGGTCAAACATAGCTCTAATGCATCGTTTTTGAGCTTTAAAAATACTTTCTTTCTCGCCACAATTGCCCCAGAATATTACGCCGAACCTTAACAGTGAAATAACTAGTCCGTGGTAGGCGACCAACACGCTTGATATATCCACCTTTTTGGACAAATTGTGCAGCATGTAAGCAGATGTACTCAATCTCTTACATATACTGTCTGCTTGAGCCTTCCATGTGAGTTGGCTATCAATTAATATTCCCAAAAATTTTGCAACGTCCACTGTGCCGACAGCTTGACCATTATGGTTTATATCCATGTTATTAGGGGGGATTCTTTGGTAAAAATGCATGACTTTAGTCTTTTGAAGATTAATTATTAGATTATTTGAATTAAGCCAATTTATTAGAGAACTGAGTGTATTATAAATATCTTGTTCATAATTTTGTTTATGGGTACACTTTATTAAAGATGTGCTGTCATCTGCAAATAATACCATTGGATTTGGTGTTTGGCGTGGTAGGTCATTTATATAAACTAGAAACAGTAAAGGGCCAAGGACGCTGCCTTGTGGGACGCCGTATTTGATTACTCTATATGAAGATCTGTATTTTAAGTCATTTTTTGTTTTTAGACATATCCTGGATACCTCGGTACATTGTTTACGGTTAAATAGATAAGATTTTATCAAATTCAGGGCGTTTCCTCGAATGCCGTATGCTTGAAGTTTCTTAAGAAGGATATCGTGATTAACATAATCAAACGCTTTGGACATATCAGCATAAATTGCACATATGGGTGTCTTCACATCTACAATTGGCAGTATTTTAAAGAGGAAATCGAAAATTGCCATATTAATATTTTTATTTTTCCTAAAGCCCTTCTGTTCATCGCATAATATATCGTAGCGTTCCAAAAATTTGTAAAGACTTTCATAGATTATTTTTTCTATTATTTTTGAGAAAACAGGTATCAAAGCAATGGGTCTATAGTTTGACATATCTTCTTTGCAATTCTTTTTAAAAAGCGGTTTTACAATAACTGTCTTGAGGCTTTCCGGAAACGTACCGCTGTAAATGCTAACGTTAATTATATGTGCTAAAGGAGGAGCTATGCACTCAGAAACAAATTTAATAACCTTAATGGAAATCCCGTCATAACCAACACTTTTTTTGTTTTTTAAAGATTTTATAATGCGAACTACATCTTGGGGGCCTGTGGGTTGCATGAAAATGGAGTGGGGATTGCTGTTTATATTTATTATATTATTTGAAGTTGTAGGTTTACGTATATCTGAAATTTGATCAATAAAGTAATTGTTGAATGACTCTGCTATTTCTTTAGGATGTGTTATAAATTTTTCTCCTTTTTTTATTTGTAATATAGGTTCACTTGTTGTTTTTGAGTTATTTATAACTTGCCATGTTGTTTTACATTTATTACTGGAACTATTGATTAAGTAATTATTTTGAGCTTTTTGAGTCAGTCTAATGATTTTTTTAAATCTTTTTGAGTAGTTTTTAAATGTAGCTTTGTTTTCAGACGTAGGTTTCATTCTTTGTTGCCAAAGTAGTTGTCGCTGCCTTTTGCTGCATACACGTATGCCTCGGGACAACCATTTAATCCTCTTTTCAGATCTGATTGTGACTACTTTATAGGGGAAACATAGATCATGCAGAAGTAGAAATATTTCTAGAAAATTGTCATAGGACTTATTGGGATCTTCTGTGGCATATACATTACAAAAGGATAAACTCTGAAGATAGGAATTAAATTTCATTAGGTTTTCAGAAGAAGCATCACGTCTTAATGTTTTCCAATATTTAATTTGACAAGACTTAATGACTTTTACATTTAATAATTGGGCTGTATGATCTGATAAGCCGAAGTCTATTACTTCCGATTGACAGTTATGTTTACAGTTGTGGGCAAAGTTGTCCAAGCAAGTATTACTGCTGAAACGAGTAGGTTGGTTAATTTCTAGTTTGAGGTTGTAGCTTGCAAGAAAGCATTCGAAGTCTAACGTAATCCTATTGTTTTTTAATCTATCTATATTAAAGTCTCCGCATAATATTACTTTTATACTTTTCTTTAAACATGTCCTTTTTAATACAGTATTTAAATTTTCATAAAATTTGCTCAGGTTGCAGAACATTGGCGGTCTATAGACACATACAACTATTAATTTTTGTAAAGGTAGTTCAATAGCACAGCATTCTATAACTCTAGGTATCGAACATCTCACTATGTCAGGTAGTTCATTGTAAACTAAATGGTTTTTGACTAAGATGCAAGCTCCGCCACGTTTTTTATTAGGCCGAGCATAACATGCCGCTAACTTATAGTTTGGAATAAGCAATAATTCTTCCTGTCCAGACATTATGAAATGTTCGGTAACACATATAATATCTACAGAAATATGTTTATTTAACAGTTCCTGAATATGAATTGTGAAAAGGTCAGTTTTATTTATGAGACCGGCTATATTTTGATGTAATATGTTTACGTAATCAAAGAAAAAAATTACTAATTGAAGAAGTATTTCCTGTACTAGTTATCAGGTTTTCCGAATGAGTAAAGAAGCCATCTATGATTAACAGTAAGTTTTGGAAAATATTCCTCATGCCTTGATCGTTAATTTTTCTATTATACTTAGAAAACATGCTTAAGTCATATGACAAATCTAAATTAGAATCCAGAACTGTTACGTATTCATATGTTTCTAAGTCCAGATGCAGTAAATTATTGAAAGTTTCTATGCGCCAATTGAACATTGTTGAGTAGTTACTTAGTTTGAATGTTGGAACACATAGTATAACGTTTGTATGTTGTATTTTTTTAATTGTTTCCCTAAGTTCTATAACTATATTAACATAGTTTTTGGTTGTTCGGAAGTCTTCCTCTCCAATCATGATTACGCAGAAGTCATGCATTGTGTAGTTGTGCAATTTTTTATCCAGGTTATTGATTAGTTGCAGTGTTCCGCAGTTTGGGGACACATAATGACATAATTGGAAATTTTGAAATGTCTCTTCAGCTATCGATAGAATTTTATTTCTTTTATTAGTACTGACGATACATATTTTGTTTCTTGTACGTGTGGGTTTTTTATTGCTATCACTATGTACTTTTTGTTCTTGTACCGATATTGGTTGTGTTTTTGAAGGTTTGGTGGTTGTAGGGGTAGTAATTATAGTTGGTTCATGTAAATCCAACATGGATGAGACACTTAATTTTTCCTTCTGGGACCCTTTAAAACGAGGAGTCGATATCTTAGGATTTTTATTTGGAGTGCCTATGTCCTGAGTCAGTTTTCTAGTTGCTTTTTTAAGGAGCTCATGTTTGGAGTTCATGTCGCTTATTGTTTTTTTAAGTTCACTGTTTTCGATGGATAAATTATTAATTTCTTCGTGCGCAGAATTTAATTGCATGTTCAATTCATCAATTTTTTGTTTTAATTCTATTATTTGTAGTACATTTTCTTCGGCAGATATGTTTGGTAAGCTATTAGAGGTGCCATCTAGTGTCGTATTGACTAAACTGTTCTCATCATCGCATGATAACTCTGTTGATTTGGTACGTGTCTTCGGTGTCTTTCTAAACGTTATGTTTTCAAAGAAATTCATTGTAATAAATGCTCCAAATAATTATAAAAACTTCTAAAAGAATTTCAGATTGTGAGGATCGACCCCACACCTACGTGAATGAGTAGTCAGTTGTATTAGACCGCACCTTACGCCGCTAGGCCAAGTGATCAATTAGAATTCAATGTGAAATTTGATATCCCTTTTTAGTATTAATAAAATAAATATAAGGTAAGTCGTTTCTTCGTAATGACGCTAAATTTGATTCGACCGTTTATTTTTATTTTTTCCTATTGCATTAATCATAATACAACGGAATCTTTGCACAATTTAATATAGGTTTTGATGCACTTCACCGAAAGTTTTGATTGTTTTTGATAGGTTTAAGTATTTATTGGACCATATCACTGCACTGAAATTAAGTACCTATTGAGATTTAGTTCACGTTTGAAGATATGTTACACTAATAATTTTAGGCGTGTATAATCGCACTAATTCTGGTTGTAGTCACTGGATAACAATGTCACACAAAGGTTAGTGTCTGTTGTCACTTTTAAACATAAACAATGCAATAAAAAACTACTTTAACTATTTTTACAAATAAAATAATACGGAGCTACTTGTTATTGTTGGCCGCAACCATAGACAGCGGGTAACATATTATTATAAATAAAAAGTAAAGTTTGATTGTCGAGCGAGATCAGATTATCTAGACACCACTGACAAACGGTGAAGAAAAATATCTTGAGGGAACCTGGGCTTATAATTTCTAATAGGGATGATGACAGGGTATGAAAATTAAAAATCTAATAAGTCCGTCAGTTAGGTAATGAAAAAATATTAGACACGTATTTTTTTTTTGATGTTTAATAAAATGGTACTTAGATATAACGAATCAAAGTCTAGGAGTGGGGGCTAAACGTCATTTCTACGTATAAAATGTACATAGAAGTGACGTCACGCGACATTTCAAATCAATATATCGTCGAAAGTATTCGTTTCTGTAAAATATAAGTTTAAAATAATCCACCAGACGGACTTTAAAATAAAAAAATGTCATCTACCCTATTATAAGATTGTAATCGCCAACCCGCATTGAGCAACGTGGTGATTAATGCTCAAACCCTCTCCGTGTAAGAAGAGCTTTTCCTCAGCAGTGGGCATTTATAGGCTGTTGATGATGATACAGGATAACTTTAAGGAACGATACCGAAAATGCAAACAAAAAGCTTTTTGTTTTTTCAATTTTAATCGTCTATGTTATCGTGTTATTGATGCTACATTAGCTTTGAGCAGTTCATTACAAGTATTATTACATAAAATAAACTTATAATTCCTTATTTTATATAAACATACTAGCGGACCCGACAGACGTTGTCCTGCATATCCATCTGACTGTATAAACAAATATTCATTCAAATTAGTTCAGCTGTTTAGGATAATTAATCTGGACTGCAGCGCCATCTGCTGGGTTGATTTGTGAATCTAAACCATCCAGGGCGCCACTCAAAAGCGTACAGAAAAATTCATTTAAATCGGTCAAGCCTAGGAGGAGTTAATGACATACACACGTACAGCGGAATTATATATATAAAGATAATTAAACCTCGTTTTTTGCCATCACCTGTCTTCATTTATTTTAAAACGTTCCGTTTACACCCTGTAAAAAACTTTCATTTTCAAATTAATCTGAATTTTATATGTATTGTACTGCTTTTATATTCAGATAATAGTTGTTGTCGTTTTTTATAACAAGTATACACATTACTGTATAGTGGATGAAAGGAAGTTTTTAAACGCGACTTCGCGTCATTTCCGGGACACCGTCGACGTTCCCCGAAAATGATGGCGCTATTAAAATAGTGAAAAAAAAACTATTATATCATAAGTAATTAGGTATATCCTGAATGCTTTCATCCCTTGCAGTACAGTTATTATGATTACAGTGAATAATAAATATATTTTTTTTTCTACAGTTAGTTACCTGGCTCCCGTACTACGACTGGACATTCGTGGACCCGTTTCGTAGTAATAAAGAACAAACGTTCAAATCTGACGAGTATCTAGTGAAAGTGAGGTCTCTGCCCATACTCATACTGCATGCTAAGGATGATGTTATCGTGCCTTTCGTGGTGGGACTGAGAGTGAGTATCTTTAAAACTATACTTGGGAGCACAAAGACGGGGCCACGGGTGGTTGTTTTTTTTTTCATTTTATCGAAATAGTAAATAAAACTTTTATAATAAATCCTTTTACAACAAAATGCTCTCTATTTAAAGGTAATTAAATTCCCTTTTATACGACATACGTTACCAATTAATAAAGTACTTGTATCAGAAAATTATCTAGAAATGAAATAAAAAAAATGGTAGTAGGTCCGTTAAAACTACAGACCACCACGGACAGGGTCTAATAGGGCTGGTGCCGACACGGAGCCGCGGAGGGGCTTAACGGGTTGCCGGGGCTTCGGCTCATAGTGCAGGAGTAGGAACGGGGTGGTTTTTAGTCAGTAATAGACTGATGGGAGTATCATCCCGCCTTACCCGGGCGGGAGAAGTCATTCGATGAGTTTACCTCTTCAACAAAAAAAAAAATAGTAGCTCAGTTTCTTTGCTCCCCGAATGCACTTTTATAGCGTGATAGTTAGTCTAAAAGGTTTTGTTCTGATTTATAAAATACTATCTTCTGTCAGTGGCTTCGTCCATGTTCCCAAGAAAAAAATGTCCCATATATTATTTCAGACTATTTTGTGTTATTTTCCGACACTTTATTAGAAATCGTATCAGAAATAAAATTTCGCGTAATACTTAATAATTTAATTACTTTTTAACACATTGGATGCCGTGTCGGACATTGATGACCGACACTACTAGCGAAGGATTAGCCTTTAATAGTTTTTGTTTGCAGTTAAACTGTCAAACACCGAGCGGTCACCGGTGACCGCAACCTATTGTTCTTTAATTGTGTCTATAATGACGGTACTCAAAAGGTTAAAGGCTTAATAATACATATTGTATCTATTTGTAAATTGGTTCGCCGGCATTTCTGTGTGGCAAAAAGTATTCCAGATCATAATTTGCCGTCATTCCAAATATTATCTCGATCACTTCAGCCGTTTTGACGTGAAGGAGTAACAAACGAACTTTTGTATTTGCAATAATAGTACGATTGTTATAAAGTTATACTGCCTCGTTGGCCGAGTAGTCGCAAGTGCGACTGCCGGGCAAGGGGTCTCGGGTTCGATTCTCGGGTCGGGTAAAGTGTTACTGGGTTTTTTCAAAAATTTCAGTAGTAGCACGGAGTCTGGATTTTGCCCGGTATATGGCAATAGACTCAGCCCCAATTACATGGGACTCATAACATAAATTGTGAAAGGTGGGGGGGTTGAATGGAGTTTCTTGCTCGTTCTTCTCCATTCGAATCTACGTTTTGGAACGAGCACCTAGCTTCACCTAATTTCACTGACGGACTGACTGACAGACTATTATTTATTTTGTATTTGATGACGTTTCAAAAGTACTAAACTATGGTTTAATTGAAATAAATGCTTTGACTTTGACTTTGTTACATTGTACAGTGGCATTAAGTGCCGTAATGTACACCTCTGCCTACCCCTTCTGGGATAAAGAGGCGTCATGTTATGTTATATGTTTATGTAATAAAGGTGTTGTCCTTAATTTTTCAGTTATACAGATCGATATTACAATCTCGGAGTACAGACGACGCGATGATCAAGTTGCATGCGTTTGAAAAGAAGGAAGATCTCGGCCACAAGGGGATCTGTACTGCTGCTGATCTACCTAACGTTTTGGGGTGAGGATATTATACCATTTTATGTGTCCCTACTAACTATGTTAATTATTTTTGTAAAAAAAAATATACCATTATTTTCGGGAACAACTGTTCACGGAAATGACGGCAGTCCCCTAAAATGGTGACATAATTAAACAGGTTTTTGTACTATTTCATTACTTTCGGTTTTTACAATGAAATTAATTATATTTTTTTCCCCAAATGGATAATCAAATATGAGATATTTACAGTGCGCCGGCGACCAATACATCAATAAGGTAGTTTAAATGAATTAATACATTATTTTTCGTTTCAGGGAATTCGTAAATCATCACCTACAGTGATGTCAAACAAGTTCAAATGATGGTATACGCCTTCAATTCTGAAAATCATGATATTACTTACACGTAACATTACGCCCGTTTCTCTTTAAAGCGACAGACAGGAGTAAAAAATATACTCATTTTTTGACAAATAGTTGGGCTTTAACTATATAACTCTGCTGTTCTCTTCAAGGTAAAATGGCGTGATGGTATGTTTATACTTGTACTCTATAAGCATGTTCCTAATATTATATTTAAAAAATAAAACTTTGCTATATGTACCAATTGAAAATGAACTTTCAATGTATGTTAGTAAGCTATAAAATCCTTAGAATTGTCTACAAAAGCCTAAAGTCTGGATTTGTGCCTAAATAAGCCTAACAATTCGAATAATTAATAGATTTTAAACCGTCACTTTTGGTTCCTATCAAGTTACTGTAGATTTCGCGTTCTATACCCCAGTGAGGTAAAAAAAACGTTTCTTGTTGGCTTATTTATTACTCAAACTGTCAATAATAATATTAATCACTGTTTCTTAATACAAATTTGACCATAGTACAATGTAAATGATATTTATAAATAATGCTATAATATGACGTAATATTAACAAACTGCACCATCACTTTCGGGGAAAACCGGCTCCCCGAAAATGATGACAATCAAAAGGTTCTAACGATTGGTTTGGGATACTTCTGGTATTGCGTTGATCGTATATCATCAAGCTATGTTCCTCTCGATAGTATAGAAAAGCAATAATATGTATGACCAATATGTTACCAACAATATAAATATTTGTGCTAAATCCTAAATAATAGGATAGCAAAGCGTGCCTCTTTATCACGCTTGCACGCCTAAATAGCTTTTCTTCCTTGCATTCTTTATTTTTAACTCCTATACAATCACTAATTCCCCAAAATAGTCTCTAAACATCGGAAATAAGGTCTATAATGAAGTTAGTAGAGGGAGGTCACCGGTGACCGCTTGGGGATTGATTAGTTAACTAGGATTTTACATTCAAACTCAATGGATGATTATTTTCCACTTCTTCACGCAAATTAAGCTATTCACAAAAGCAAGTAGTCTTAGAAAGAACTACTTGAAATGAATAGGTCAAGATGGCCGCTAATTTCAAACTCCTAATATTAATTAGAAGACAGTTGTTAGCATTGATTGTAATGTGACTGATGAACAGAAGGTCTTAGGTTGTTTTATGGGTTTAACAAGTTCAAATGGTTTTACAATAAATTTTCAATATGAGAGTTCATAGAAACTTATTAAAACTATTGACTTTCTGAGAAAGCAAGATTGTCATGATATTTACTAATTGTTGATTTAGTTAATGGTCACAAAGTTTTCATCACAAATACTATATTTATTCAATAGTAGTCAAATTCTTAGCTCGTGACAGTCCATTCCTAGACTTCGGGCCTTCTAGAGTGAGTTTGCTATTATAATCTCTTTTTTTTTGTATTGTAACTTTCGTGAATATGAGCCTCTAGCATGGCTGGAAACTAGTCGAGTTCCTCGTCAAATTATTACGTGAGTGAGCCGAAAACATAATAATTTATTATAATCTCCTTTCTATGTATGCTGGTTTGGAGATCGTAGTTAAAAAAGTTCAGATTTTTTAGAGCGACACTACCCAATCAAATGTGACATCCTTTAGTCGGTTTGTATAAAATCCGCTGTAGGAGTAGGGATGATGACAGTGTGTCTGTATTCATCTCTATCTACGATCACAACACGTCTTAGATTTAGAAAATAAAATCTTGGGATAATAGAATCAGTAGTAATACCTAAATTCGCGTCTGAACTATGCTATATAGGAAAGGGTGCTTTTCTAAGTCAAAAATGAGTGGTTTTGATTCATCCCATGCACAGAAACAAAAAATAAGTATGATATTTTACTCAAAAAAATATGGCGTCGTTACTAACATTCTGTACACAATTCAAGTTAAAGCAGAAATAAGACAAAATGCCTATGAGGTGTTTTAGTTGGTCTAACATTAAAAAAAACTTAAGTATTGTGTTTGACTACTAGGAAAGTACTCTACAAGAATTTGTAGGAACACATGTATCGATGTCATGCGACGGATGCCTTTTCGTGCAAACATTGTAAGATAAATTAAGTAAAAACGCGGGTTACTCACGTGAATATACTGAGAAAAGCTCTACTAGTTTCGAACCACAGAGGGGTTCTTCCTCATGATGTGGTTCGAAACTAGTAGAGCTTTTCTCAGTATATTCACGTGAGTAACCCGCGTTTTTACTTAATTTAGTATGTCTCACGATAGTTATTATAAAAACATTGTAAGATAAAGCTCAGATATACTCATCTATGCCATGTATGTACTACCAATATATGTGACTGACATAATATAGCATAGTTAACTAGAATGATTAATTTAGTAAGAGATTTTGCATGCCCCGACTGTTGTTCAGAACCGTCATTTTCGGGGAGCCCTAAAAGCCAAGCAATGACTAAGTAATTATCACTATTTTTGTCACATTGTAGCCTACAATAACAAGCATAGTTTGGACTATATGTATTGGTGTGACGAAGAGCTTTTGGTGTAAACAGTGCATGGTAATCGCAGCGATGCGCTCATCTGTGTTACGTGCTACCAATATATGCGACTGACATATAGCATATTTTGTATATTTTTCTAGTAAATGCGCCATCATTTCCGGGGGGTCATCGTCGCCGGAAATGATGGCAAGTTTTGGGTGACTCCTGGACTATTCTGGTGCAATTTAAGTTTTGATGCAACGCCCTTATTATGCTTCTAGTGTTGTAAATGTTATTATGCTGCTATGGAATTTTGAATAGGTAAATTGCTGTCATTGTAACCTTTGTAATTAATTGATATAAAAATAAATAAATAAATGGTTGCTTACCATCAGACGGGTCATTAACACTGATTTGATACTTATGTCTAACACCCCAGTAAGAAATCCGAGATTTAAAAAAAAAATGTTCTGACATTCGTCCATAGATGGCGCTTTTTACAAAAGACTGTCTTTCCGTTCGAAGAGAGAGAACTCTCTGGATGGTTAGACAACTGATATGGCTTTATTAATGAATCAAAATAATTGTACAATTTTGTCAATAATTTTTCGTCCAGTTAAATGTAACTACTGACTGACGATACTGGCTTTAAAAGGCTCGCTTTATATTAAACATGACTATAAAAAATATAACTCGTTATATGATTGTAAAATTTACTCCGCGCTTACCTCCTTACCTAATATTATGGCGTGATGCTATGTGGGATATAGTACATAATAATTTTATTAGAACCTACTTGTTTTTATTTGTCCAAGCTGTTTTATATCATGACTTAATTTATTTGTTAGGTTGAATTTTAATAAAGATTTATAATAAAAAAAGAATGTGTTTCATTAATTAAACTTTTTACGTTGAACCTATTTTGAAAACTTGTGAAAGGAACCAACGACAACTACTCAGATATTGTCAATATCAAACAAAATGTCAGCGTGCTAATATTTTAACTATAATTTATTATAAAATAAATAAAGCTTTATAAAAACATAAAAAAGGATAAAATGATCGAAAAAAATTGCGAAGAGAATAAACAGGAAAATATAAATTTTATTAAAATAAGAAAACATAAAATTGCGCCTTATCAATATGGTTATCGGGTGAGTATCGATTGATGTTACTATTATTAATAACTATACTCGGAATTTTAATTCGATTCCAGATTTGACAATTTCAGTGTTGCAACGTTATGACAAGTACTAAATAGTGACGTTGCGGAATTATTCGATATGGAAATGCAATATTTCTGGATCCATTCTTCTCGTTTATAATTTTACTCTCGTAAACTAAGTATATCAGGAAATTAAATATTTCTGAACCGAAAATTTAGTTTTGACGATTAATTAACGATCTGAGACTTTTCTTTTATAATTATGTGTGAAATAAATAAAAAAATGTAATCATGAAGGAACATGACAAATGAAACAGATAGATGTATTATGGTAATAAGTTATTTTATCAATTGTCGCCGGCATCGCTATCGCTATCCTGTCACTTTCTGTAACATTTATTATAAAACACACACACGGATTGTTTATCGATTTTTGTGTGCATCACTACACTATTATATGTGGTATCATTATTTCACAAAATGACAGTAGCTATTGTCAAATCTGGAATCTAATTAAAATTCCGACTATAGCTGTTTCCCGCGACGTCGTCCGCGTATAATAATTACTTCTGATGCAGCTAAATTCTATTATTAGTCCTTGAAAACAGTTTTCTATTGGCAGTCAAAGGCTTAAGCAATATAAGGAGTTTTTTGGTAGATTTTTTAGATATCGGGTTACATTATGGAAATTTTTACACGGTTCTCTTTTTTATGTTTTATTAAATGTAGCCTATGTTCAGCATTGATAATGTAGGATTTCAACGGTAAAAGAATTTTTTCAAATCGGCTCTGTAGTTTCAGAGGAAATGCCATTCAAACGAACAAAAAATCTAATCTTTCCTCTTTATGCTATTAGTGAAGATATACCTACTTACGCAATATTTTTTTTCTTTTCATTATCAAAACGTGCACTGCTGGATACCACCATCAGGTGATATAGGAATAAACAACATAATATCACGCCTTTTATCCCCGAAGGATTTGGCAGAGGTGCACAATGGCAACTAAAGTCACAATGTAACACCCACTTTTCACTATTTATGTTATAAGTCCCATGTAATAGGGGGAAAGTAATAAATTGCCATATGGCAATAGATATAGGGACACAATTCCAGGCTCCGTGCTACTACTGAGATTTTTAAAAAACCCAGTAATACTTTGCCCGACCCGGCAATCGAACCCAAGAATCCTTGCTCAGCAGTCGCACTTGCGACCACTCGGGCAACTACGGCATAAAGGAATAAATTAAGGTTTTAGTGAACTCCTCACATTTTCCTAATTTTTAGGACCATATTAGTGACTGGCGCTTCGGTGACAGCGAGCATATTTGTAGTTCAAGTGGCTGTGTTACCTCTACTTTTTAAATACAGCAAGTCAGTTCAAAGGAAAATGGTGTTTTCTAATTGCAGTAAGATTTTGGTTTTTCTTTACACTATTTATTATATCGAATAATATTGAATTCATCATCGTCAACAGCCTATAAGTAGCCACTGCTGACCAAAGGCCCCTTCTTACACGGAGAAGGTTTGAGCATTAATCATTGTGCTTGCTCAATGCGGGTTGGCGATTTCAGACTTATAATTTAGAAATGACAAAAGCCCAGGTCTGTTCACGATATTTTCATTCACCGTTTGTCAGTGGTGTCTAAATAATCTGAGAAAGTACATCTAACTCGAAAAGTCACATTGGTACTTACCGTTGGTAGGTTTCGAACCCTCTCATACACGAGAAGCAGGCGTCTTAAACCTCAGGGCCACCATAAAGAGACGACGAAGATTGAATTATTTGAAAGTAATTTACCTACTATTGGAAAATTTACTTTTTAATTAATAACAATAGGTCTAACTAGATCAAGAGAGTCTTGAGAAATATGAGTTCACACAGGCAAAACTACGGACAAAACCTAGTACATCGTTTTACTTGCGCAACGTTGCCTAATTATTTTTATAGAGCAATTGTATAAAAACTTACTTTGCTATCATAATTTTAGTAGGCGTTTACGGATAAATTATCGAAATACCTAAATGGTAAGTGAATGTGAAATTAATTATGATTGCAGTCAATTATCCAAGGAACTTGGATTATGAGAACCCGTCAAGTTGTAACGTTGTCGGAGGGAGATATTTCAATATCTCGTTCCAGTCTGCTGTCGATTCCTGTCCTATCAAACTCGGTAACAGCAATTCGAAGTTCTATACTAACTACCTACTAGAAGTAGTGTAGACTATAGGCTATTGTATATTTAGGTGATCGATATATTCTGGTGTTCAACACACTCAATGTAGCGGCGTTAATAGAGTTCCAAATTTAGTCCTCCCTTCTTATGGGATAAGCCGTTAATCGAGCGTCTGCTCGCTCAGGATCATCACCTGATTGTAAGCAATCGGCGTCGCCCATGAACACCCGAACACCAGAGGCGTTACAAGTGCGTTACCGGCCTTTTAGGGATTAGGAATTTGAGGATTGTTGGGGATTGGAGGAGGGGGGATAATTGAGCCTCTGGTAACTTTTCTCACACGACGAAATAGGTACAACATTAGCGTTGTTTCACGTCGGTTTTCTGTGAGGCCGTGGTATCACATCGAGCCAGCCCATTCCTGGCGAAGTATTTTTTTTTAAGGGGGAAAATCATCGAATGACTGCTCCCGCCTGGGTGAGGCGGGAGGGAGTGTCAGACTAAAAACCACCCCGTTCCTTCTCCTGCACGTCGAGTCGGAGCCCCGGTTACCCGTTAGGTTCTCCGCGACTCGTGCCGAAATATAGCTTTCTAATGCCTGCGCCATTTAGAATTTTGGATATTGAAATCCGCAATAATAACATAAAGTATAAATATAGTAGAAATTATGAAAGGGTAGACTTAGAACAGCAGCATTAAAGTAGATGCCTAATTTTTATTTGAATGTCCGTCTAGTAGATTATTTTAAATCATTAGACACGTATTTTTTATTTTTATACAGAAACGAATACTTTCGACGATATATTGATTTGAAATGTCGTGTGACTTCTATGTACATTTTGAACGTAGAAATGACGTTTTAACCCCCACTCCTAAGTTTTGATTTATTTTATCTAAGTATTATTTTATTATACGACAAAATAAAGAAATATGTATCTAAAATTTTTTTATTACCTAACTGACGGACTTTTCATTTTCATACTCCATCATCATCCCTACTCTTTTGCAAAGAGATTTTGTTATTCACGACATTATAATAGGTATGGCATGTTATTCAAGGTATTAGTGAGTGAATACTTATTTACTAACATCATTTCAGGAGCCTGGCACATAGTTCCGTGTTCAATGTTTCGCGAGGTGTTTGTGATTCGTGACTACCTGTCAGTGGACGCTCGTCTGCATCAGGAACTGAAGCGGACACAGAATACAGTCGTACTTTATTGTCATGGTAAGAACAACAAATTTCTTATAATAACTATTGTGATTGTGACATATATTATTAACTAAAAATCGCGGGTTACTCACGTGAATATACTGAGAAAAGCTTTACTAGTTTTTTTTATGGCATAAGCCGGTAAACAAGCAGACGGATCACCTGATGGTAAGCAATCGGCGTCGCCCATGGACACCTGGAACACCAGAGGCGTTACAAGTGCGTTACCGGCCTTTTGAGGAATTAAGAGTTTGAGGATCGTTGAGGATTCAGGAATTGGAGAGATTGGGGAAGGGGAGGGTAATTGGGTCTCCGGTAACCTCACTCACACGACGAAACACAACGCAAGCGTTGCTTCACAGCGGTTTTCTGTGAGGCCGTGGTATCACTCCGGTCGAGCCGGCCCATTCGTGCCGAAGCATGGCTCTCCCACACTTGAAGTTTCGAACTACAGAGGAGTTCTTCCTCATGAGCAGCGTGCGCGGTCGCGGCGATGTCGCGCAGCCTACCATTCGGGCCCGCTGCCTTTGTAGAATTCAGATATTATGTATTTTAAAAAAGCAAAGCAATTTTCACGGTGCTTTTTACGCCCACGAGCAGCGATTGCGATTGTTTGCGGTTCCCGCTGCACCCGCGGCGGGCGCGGCTGCTGTCCCGCGCGCTCTGCGATCGGTCGGCGGGCGATCGCAATGGGACGGCCGGTCTGGAACTCAACTTATTGTTTAACCAGCCGCCCGTCTTGCCATATTCAACAGCTAACTTTGTGGGTGGTAATCGCTATTGCAGCGGTTGCGGAATCGCAGAAAAGTCCGGTCTCGTGAGTTTTGAAAATTTTGCCTCCATTCCGCCATCATGGCGAGCGCAGGACAAGATCGCGCCATGACTCCTTACCCTTAGGGAAGTAGTCGCGGAGAACCTAACGGATAACCTGGACTCCGGCTCGACGTGCAGGAGAAGGAACGGGGTGGTTTTTAGTCAGTAAGAGTCTGACACTTCCTCCCGCCTCACTCAGGTGGGAGCAGTCATTCGATGATTTTCCCCCCTTAAAAAAAGCCTTAGGGAAGTACCTACACATATTTTTACAGTTACTCCTTGTACCCCAAAAGGCCGGCAACGCTTTTGTAACTCCCCTGTTGTTGCGAGTGTCCATGGGCGGCGCCGATTGCTTACCATCAATCAGTTTATGAAAGTGCTTGAACGCCGCGCTATGTCAAAGTATTAAGTACAAACAATTCAAGTACGATAGAACAATAATAGAAACATTGTATACCTATATACAAAAGTCTATCAATTTAAGTAAAAACGCGGGTTACTCACGTGAATATACTGAGAAAAGCTCTACTAGTTTCGAACCACAGAGGGGTTCTTCCTCATGAGCAGCGTGCGCGGTCGCGGCGACGTCGCGCAGCTCACTGGCTGGCGTTTGCGCTCGCCTCGGTGTTGCCACCTGCGCTGCGGGCCCAACGCGCCCTCTGTCGGACACTACGAGCGTTTGCTTCCAACTCCGGCAGCGCGTTGGACGAAGCTAAAGCGCACGGTACGTTCACCAGCGGCGCGGGTCGTGGGTTCGATTCCGGGTTCGGCACAAAGTCAGTGTTGCATATAACGCTTACTGTGTCACACTCCAGACTGGAGACGCTGTGGATCGACGAAGACTCCAAGCTCGGCTTCCACGCGGGTGGCAGTGCCCAGCCACCATCCCTGTTGAAGCACGGTCGTCGGCTGATCTCGATGGCCTCTCGCACTTTTCGCGGAACGAAGTATTTTTCTCTCGCTAGTACGGAGACCTTATCAAAACGTATGAAGTGAGCCGCGTCCGTACCACAAACATGTTCAGCCACTGCCGATGCCTGGATGTCCATCTTCTTCACGCTGCGTATATGTTCCTTTAGCCTGGTTGTGATGTTGCGACGAGTTTCCCCGATGTAACTCGAGCCACAGTCGCACGGTATTATGTACACTCCGGGTACAGCCAGTGGATCCTTATCTTTAGGTGAGCGTAGTAGTTGTCTTAGCTGACCGGGTGGGCGGAAGATCGTCCTGATGCAGTATTTACGGCGAAGCAGGTGTCCGATTCTGTCGGTTACTCCTTTCACGTATGGTAAGAACGCTGGAGTCCGTTCCGCAACTGCCGGTCGCTTCCTACTCGAGCTGCTCGCAAGTCGAGTACATTGACGCCAGTTGTATCCATTGTTTTCCAGTACCCGTTTTAAGTGGTGAAATTCGTCGTCAATGTACTGGGGATCGCATAGACTCAGCGCCCGGTTTATCAAGGTCCGGGGAACAGCGGCTAGATGGGAGGGATGACGATGATGGACGTTTTTACTTAATTTAGTATGTCTCACGATAGTTATTATAAAGTCTATCAATTTCTTTGAATGGAAATGATTAACTAGTTATAAAGCGCCTACAATTTTAATGATAGCAGTTGATCAAACAGAAACTGGCTATAATAAAATTAGTAGGCGTCACAAAGAATAACCTACGTTTTTGATATTATTTTGTAGATTATTTATTTTCATGTCTATACAGTCAGACAATTATTAATTCCTTTATTCAATTATGTATTATTTTCAATGAATAATAATACAGTAATGTATAATTATTACTAAAATGAATTTGTTTCAGGGAATTCAAACCACCGTGCTTCGCCCCACAGACTACAAATGTACAAAGTGTTCCAAGAATTAAATTTCCATGTGATTACATTCGACTATAGAGGTTCATTACATTACATTACATAATAATTAATTATTTGAGTGCCCTTATTGAGTTTTGATGCAATGATATTTCACGCGAATTTCTGTAAATAATGAAGCTAAAATTGCAATTTGTTAATTCAACTGTTTGATACAAGGGAACCAAATAATTAACAAAGAAATATATACTAATTTAAACAGCGACCAAATAATTTAACATACCTACATATTATGCTATACTATTTAAAATAGGAAGGGTGTTTTTGAGGGCGGAATATCATCCAATGACTTCTCCCGCCTACCCGTTACTCTGGCAACCCGTTAAAATAGGAAGAGAGGAAGAGATCTACTGTTTTAACATACCTTTACGGTGAGCACGGTACCAAAGGAATACGTATTCGGGGAGTTGCTTTGTTCATGAGCACCAGCAGCGAAAGACTGGGAATCGCTTTCTGCAATACCGCTCACCAGAAATGGCTCACAATCTCGCCAGGCCTTGCCTCCCTGTTAAATGGCAGCACTTTCAAAACAAGCATGAGGCGCAAACTCTATGAAGCACTGCCAGAAACAAAGCTGGTCGGTCAAAGCTGTCGATTGTTGCGGACGCGCAATAAAACAATCGCAATGTTTTCTGGCAACAATACGACAACCTGTTTTGAACAGGCATGCAAGGTGCTGACCAGTATAGGTAAGTGGGGTAAAGTAGAGGGCATAGATTCTAGAGTTATCAGCGTGGATGCTGCTGTGGTGGCTTTCCGGCGGGGAGAGACAGCGGATCTCATGGGCTGTATTCAAGCTTCAGAACAGCATGAAGTCATTGTTTATGAGGACAGGGGTGAAGACCTCAGTTTCCTCAGAAAAAAGGTCCAGAGTTCACCAATCGCTGGCTCTTCAAGTGGTTCGGAGCGTCTGCAGCACAGGTATTCGGAACAAAGTGCTCTACAGCAACAACAACGAAACACCGAAAGACAAATAAAGAAACAAACTTCACGGACCAACATGTGGGCAATAACATCAGCCATATGTACAGCTGCGGGTCTCATTTCGTCGACTTTCAGAAGGAGTGAATCCGGCTCCACTCGCGGGGGAGGCGACAGTGCTCGGGTGCATCTTGCCCAGTCCAGGTCACCGCCAACCAAAGCCGCCATGGGTCACGTTTCTCCGCCGAAGTTTCGCCATGCCACCACTCCCAGAGACCACCTCATAAACGCCTTCCTCGAGTTTGTCGCAGTAATAGAGGCAACAAAACAAGTTAACTTGCGAACTTGCAAAACGATCCTGCAGGCATATCTGCAGGGTAACGAGCTGTTACTGAATGATAGACTCGAGGCTGCGGAGGCGGTCATATACGACAACAGTAAATCGAGAGTATTGAGAGGAGCTTCTATAAGTCGTAGTATGGCAGCTTACAACGCCACCGCAGGATTTGTGTCTCTGGATGAGAAGGAATCGGATAAACGGGGAGTTGTGAAATTTAAAACTCCTCCTGAAGACTCCTTAGTGGTAGTTGCCGGGTGCACCAGGATTATGTTGGAGGATCGGATCTTGGAAATGGTGGGATCCATTTCGGAGCCTGGGCCGGGCGGCGTGGACTTTGGGGGCTGGGATGCCCCGACATTTCACTGGACAAATGGAGTGCCGGGATGCGGCAAAACTACATGGATAATAAATGAATTCGAAGCGGAAAGGGATTTAATCGTCACCACAACAACTGAAGCAGCAAATGACCTCAGAGGCAAACTATCCTGCCGAATCGGAGGATTAGTCAAATCCAAAGTCCGAACAATGGCATCCATTTTAGTGAACGGATTAAAAGAGCAAGAGAGCTGCCACCGAATCATGGTTGATGAGGCTCTCATGAATCACTTTGGGGCCATTGTGATGGCGGCCCGAATAACTCGGGCCAAGGAAGTTCTGCTGATTGGTGACATAAATCAACTTCCCTTCATTGACCGAGACAACCTCTTCCCCCTCATTTACAACCGCCCTACGCACGTCGCGGCTATTAGCCAAGAACTTCTCTGCACTCACAGAAACCCTATGGATGTGGCATATGCTCTCAGTACTGTGTACAGTGGCATATATTCGTCCGCGTCGGGTGTGAGATCCCTTGAGTTAAAAAGCTTCTCAGGGTCGCGAATACCCAAATCTCCTCCGAACACGTTATACCTGGTACACACTCAGGTAGAAAAGGAATCCCTTAAAAACCAGGGATACGGATCGGGTGTGGGATCACGCGTACTCACAATACACGAGGCTCAGGGGCTTTCGTACGCGGCAGTGGTTGTTGTGAATACAGCGGAGAAGAAACAGCGGATACACGACAGTGTATCGCACGCCGTGGTAGCTATATCCCGTCACACAAACAGCTGTGTTTACTACACGAATATCAGTGACGACGCGATCAGCAAATTAATCAGACGAGCGGTGGGTGAGAGTGAGCGGGGGATCCTGGACTATAACTTGAAAATGGCTATCAGCAACAGGGACATGGCGGTAGTGGGCGCTCTTTTGGGTGGGGAGGGCTCGCTGTAAGCTTAAATTGTGATGCAAGCGTGACATTAATATACCTCTATATTTGTGTGTGTTTAATAATGTTAAAATGTAGTAAATATAATGTAACGTAATGTAAATTTTATCAATAAGACTGACAAAATCCATTGGCACTACTGGAATCGGCTTACTGCTGCGTGAGCAGACGTCATGCATTCTTAAATGTTCTACAGTCGGTGGCGCTGTGGACTGGGTCGCTCCGTTCCCTACGAAATGGTTGATCGGATCGATTGCTGGCCCTCACGTCATGCTCGTGAACGGGCGCCTTCTGCTGGAGCAGGTCGGCTCGCTCATCGCGCGTGTGGGCCGATCCAGTAAGGTTAATGTAAATGTAATAAAACATGTATTGTGTATATATAAATATTAGATTTAGACACATCCTTCTTTGTGAAAAAAAAAAATGTGGTTAATGTAGCACGTAAGATTTTTGGGTAAATGTGGTTAATGTAGCACGTAAAATGGAATGACAAGGACACGGACAAGAGTCCGTGGAGAATAAGAAATGTAAGATTAAAAAAAAAAAAAAAAAAAATATACAGCACAAGCATGTCTGTATGTTAAAACAGTAGATGCGATGATATCCGGCCACCGTAAGCACGGGCCTGCGGACGTCGAGCATGGGTGGCTCGCCACCTGACTAGAACCAGACCCGATCGTACGGCGCGTCGCATTCACATCAGACCACCACGGATGGGGCCCAATAGGGCTAATGCCGATACGGAGCCGCGGAGGACTTAACGGGTTACCAGGCCTCCGGCACGAAGGGCAGGATTAAGAACGGGGTGGATTTTAGTCAGTAAGAGCCTGACACTTCCTAGCCTCACCCACAAAGGAGAGGTCATTCGACAACTTTCCACCCCTAAAAAAAACAGTAGAAGCTGTAACAATAATAAAATTATTGTTTTTTTCTTCTCCTCAATTATCTCCTGATTTATTTCCAAGACAATTATTCATGTCCCTGGGACGCGCCAGACTTCAGTGTCCCGGTGTTTTCATGGTTATATTTGTCTCTACTGTACATCCTGGCTTACAGACGGTTTTTGGGACGTTGTGGCGGGTTTTCCCAATTACCTAAAGAAAAAGATGTAATCTATATAAATAAAAATGAATTTCTGTTCGTTAGTCTCGCTAAAACTCGAGAACGGCTGAACCGATTTGGCTAAATTTGGTCTTGATAGGTTCGTGGAAGTCCAGGGAAGGTTTAAAAGGTGAGAAAAAACTTTTAGGCGGTACGAAGTTTCACGGGTCAGCTAGTAACAGATAAATAAATGAATATCTGATTAAGAATTCGTTTTGAATAACTTGAGAAATATGCGGACGACATTTTGTTTTCAAATGTCTTTGTCTAGGATACGGTGACTCCACGCATGTGAGGCCGACGGAGCGAGGAGTGGTGGAAGATGCCCTGGCGATGTACGCCTGGCTGGTAGACTCACTTAATGAAAAGGACAGACCACCTGTTATTGTATGGGGACACTCTTTAGGTAGGCATCTACCTATAATATTTTCTGATGTGTTATTTTTTACGTTTAGCACCCCGTACGTGTGACTGCCGTATACGGGAGACCCAATGCCTTTCCTCCCCAGTCCTCCTTTATCCCCAAAGGGGTCAACAGCACGAAAATGTATTTATGGCTTCTCTGGTGTTACGGGTATTCATAGGAAGCGCTGATTATTATTTACCTAATATCAGATAATCCCTCCCCAATCTACCCAATCCCTGAATTCCCAACAAACATCAAATTCCTTATCCCGAAAAGGCCGGTAACGAACTTGTTACGACCCTGATGTTTCGGGTGTCCGTAGGCGGCGCTGATTGCACCATCAGGTAAACTATCTGCTCGTTTGCGGCCTAATCCCGTAAAAAAACTCATTTACCCCTGCGGTTTATTTTTTTTTTGTATTGGCCGGCGTTTGACAGCTGTCCCGCCTGGTGGTAAGGGAAGATGCGGCCTACGATGGAGCACACCCGCAACCTATTCATTTCGTCCTTGAGGACATCCGAGGTCATTTACTTTAATAGCTATTGGATTTAATTGTCCCAGGGACGGCAGTAGCAGCAAATATGGCGGCCAACCTGTCAGATCTCTGTCGCAGTCAAGGTCGTGCTCAGCTGCCGTTACCAGACGCAGTAGTGCTCGAGGCGGCGTTCAATAACCTTACAGACGAGATCGAGAGCCATCCCTTTTCTAAGGCAAGTCGTAATTAGAAAAATGATCGATTTACATTGTTTTTGACTGAACGAGGTGTACAGTGGCTATGCAACCGGGCACTGTCCAACGCGCCACAGTATCGTTACTGGAACAACACTTTAAGGCGATCTAGAAGTCGTTGTTACGAGTTAGGGTGTCATCATGTGAACTTATATAATTGTAAACGACCCCATTGAAAGTGGATCAAGTGCAAGTGAATTTATCCTAAACAAAAGAAAATTCATGTGTAGGACAACAAGTAACAACGCAGTCCTTTCTGATGAACCTGAAACTGTGATCTAGAATGAATCTCCAAAACGTTTTGAGATTATTATCATTATCATCATAATGTGGAAGGAGCTCATAGTCTATCATAGACTATCGAGGACGTACAAATATCAACATAATTATGAGCTATTTTAAAGAAATATATCTTAATGTCTAAATTACTGTCTATGTCTAAACGACTGCCTCATTGGCCGAGTGGTCGCAAGTGCGACTGCCGGGCAAGGGGTATTATGTTCGATTCTCGGGCCGAGCAGTGTTATTGGGTTTTTACAAAATTCTCAGTTGTAACACGGAGTCTAGAATTGTGCCCGATATGTATGTATGGCAATAGGCTCACCCTCTGTTACATGGGATTCATAACATAAATCGTCAAAAGCGGGTGTTACATTGTACAGTGGCATAATGTGCACCTCTGCTAAAACCTTCGGGGATAAAAGCCGTGATGTCATATATGTGTAAATTACCATTCTCCTTCCTCCAGTTTGTATCCTGGCTGCCCTACTACAAGGACACCTTCGTGAAACCATTCACCGCATCATCAGAATACACGTTCACCACTGACCAGTACCTCTGTCGCGTGCCAAATTTACCTATCCTCATGCTGCACTCCAAGGGAGACAAGATTGTACCCTTCAATTTAGCTGTTAAGGTACTTAACTGTCAAGTTTCATTTTAGTCCATTTTTTTATCAAAACTACAGCTAAATTTAACAGTGTCTTACATAGTCCGTAATGATACCGATGTACTTAACCTCCAGGGCTCGTGAGTTGCAAGTGGGTGTAATTTTATTTAGGCTACCGTGTCCATTTGCCCTCAGGCAGACCGTAAACTTTGTTGCTATCAATAGAAGTATAAATATTTAGATATACATAGAGTGACGAGGTTTTTTTTTATTATATCTTGATACATGTTTTCTGATATAAGTATTTTAATAATAGGGATGATGACAGGGTATAAAAATTAAAAATCTAATTAGTCCGTAAGTTACGTAATGAAAAAATATTTGGCACGTATTTTTTTTATTTTGTCGTTTGATAAAACAATACTTAGATAAAACTAATCAACGTTTAGGAGTGGGGGCTAAAACGTCATTTCTACGTATAAAATGTAAATAGAAGTGACGTCACGTGACATTTCAAATCAATATATCGTCGAAAGTATTCGTTTCGGTAAGAAAATAAAAAATACGTATCGAATGATTTAAAATAATCTACCAGACGGGCATTAAAATAAAAATTAGGCATCAACCCTATTGGTAACGTATGCCCCATAGGAGGCATCTTAGTTACTTTTAAAATGAGAGCATTTTGATACAAAAGGTATATGTTTTTAAAGCTATTGAGGGTTAGATAACATGAAATCAATAACGCTGGTGGATCCGTTTCTTTGTTTACCTAATTTAGATCAAAAAGGCGCAGTTAACTAAAGTTTCGGTATCAACATGTTTATTTCTAGGTAAAATGATAACAACGCTAACCCATGGTTTATGTATTTCAACGAAAAAGATAACATAATTATTATTTAATCAAATTGTAATCACGGATTTCATTTTTCTTAGATTTGACCAAGGCTTTCGATATTAAGTTGTTTATCGCCAAAATACCTACCTATATACTTACCTAACAGAGTTTAGTTTTTCAAATCACAACTGTATGGTTCCTTGTCTCTTCTTTCAAATAAACCAAATTTGAAAAATTACCATGAACAGGGTTTCTCAGGGCGGTATATTAGAACCATTTTATTTTATTCAAGTTTGTCCAATATTGTTTATGCATTAATTAATATTTTTTGTCCAGTTACATGCAAAAGTAGGTGAATCCCGAAAGAAGTCGGATGCTCCGCTAGTATTCCATGCATTTGAGCGGGGTTTGGGGCTGGGACACAATAATCTATGCGAAGCACCGGAGCTGAAAAATGTCGTGGAGTAAGATTATATCATAATATAGTATATTTCATATTTACTAGATAGCTAGATCTCATCCATTTTAGTTTGGTAAATATGTTTCGTGTTGTAGATAGAATTTAAGTCACTGTAAACGACACTTTATAGTTTTTAATTTATTGAAATTACATATTGTTAAGTTAGCTCTGAGCTATCCACGACCGATGGAGTAGAAAGGTACTTAGAAGCGCTCCGTACCGGCAAGCGTAGATGGTCCAACAATATATACAGATGACCCGATTAATATCGCAGGAGCCACTGGATGCAGGTCGCTTCCAATGGCCTATATAGAAGTCATTGGAGGAGGCCTATGTTCAGCAGTGGACGTATGATGATACCGAAGTTTAATTCTGTTTAATCCTTCATTAGCTGCACTATCATATTCCACATGCTTACCATCTTAGCCTAAACATGGATTGATATAAAATGGTGTTTCACTTATCTAAGGGCCTACATTTTTATTAATTAGAATTTATTGATGTTTAAACTTACTGACATTAACATCGATTAGCTTACTGCCTACATTTTACAAATGTTTCATCTTACTTATTTCTTCTTATATCGATGTTCGGTTCAAAAACAGCTTGTCTTTCGATATAGGCCTCATCTAAAGGTTTCCATTTCTCTCTGTCTTTTGCTGCTCGGATCCATGCATATTGAGGAAGGGCCCACATTTTAATCATTAGTTAATTGTTAACTATAGAATAAAATTGACATTTGAGAGTTTTTAGTACAGAAGAATTATTATATATTCCAAGTTATTTCTCAGTTAAAATTTATTTGGCGTTCGAAAAATCGGCTCTAATTAAATATACACACCTAATATATGTATTCTTTTTCAGACAATTTCTGATACAAGTCAAGGAGTCCAAGTCCAAGCCTAGAACAATAAAATCTTTACTACATACCTAGTGTTAGAGAGCATGTTCTTAAATTAAATAAATTGTGTGCTGATCTTTCTTTTATTTTCTACTAGATTACCTGGCAAACTTCGTATCGCCTAAAATTTTTTTCGTTCCTACTCCTACACTACACTTCGAACGGTGTCAACACTACTGTGGTGGTCTGATGGCTCTAAAAGACGCGCGCGGAACGCAACGCCCCGCCGTACGCTCGGTCTAGTACTCTTGAAACCAATCTCAATGTCAATGCCATTTCAATCCAATAAAATCTTAATAATTATTCAATGTCAAAACTATACAACCCCTATTGTAGCTGTTGAAATGGTATTCGGAGAACGGAGTATAAAGCCAAACAATTATTGAATGAACTAAATGGTATTGAGTTCCAATATGCACGCGATATGGATGCAATGGGCGCTGGTGCTGCAACTCAAGAGTACTAAATTTCACAATACCAATGTCGATCGATCGGAATTGGATTCTAGAGTACCTGCCCCCTGATTGGACGGCGAGTCACCTGTCGCTCGCCGTCCGCAGGCCCCGCGATCCCCGACGCCCGGAGTGTCCTTCTAACTCCTAACCTCTTGAGGTTTCAGTCGCAGAAATTGCTGAGCATATCCTGTTTTTGCGCACGCATACATGACGCACAATATTAGGGCAATGGGTTGACACTAGCATCAAGTACTTATAATGGCTTCGTATTGTTTTATTATAATTAATTAATCAACTTTTATATACACTCCTTAACCAATTTTATGAAATGCATGCAACTAGTCATTAGATAGGTAGGTATATTATGAAGTAAGTAGGTTGTTCCTTGTCTATGGTCCACAGATAATACTAGATATTAAGTATTCTATGATTTTAGTAAAATAATAAGTCTGTGGACCATGGACAAGACTTCACTTCATTTTATTTTTTTTAGCTTTTATTTTATTTTATTTTATTTTTATTTTTAATTATGTTATGTGTGTTTTGCGCAAAAATAAATGGTTTTCCTTTCTTTCTTTTCTTTCTCCTTGGCGGCGGCTGGGCTGTGCCTTAAACCACGATATTTAGCCTGCCTGCCAAGCCAAGTGAGGAGAATATAGCAAACTCTCTTACGTGGGTAGAGGAGGCCGATAGTCCAGCAGTGTACTGTCCAGAGCTGTTAGGCTGTTCTGTAAGATGTCAATTCTAACCTTCAATGTCGAGCTCAATCGCATTCTCGCCTTTTATTGGTCGCCGATTATTTACACAACCCATGACATGGTGGATGATGGGCAGTTCAAATTGACATCTTACAGCCTAGCACTTTCAATTCAAATCGAATTGAGGTCGAGCGCGGTTCGCCAGCGCATTCGTTGTTAGTATAAAACGAGTATCTGCCTCGTTGACCAAGTGGTCGCAAGTGCGACTGCCGGGCAAGGGATCTCGGGTTCGATTCCCGGGTCGGGCAAAGTATTACTGGGTTTTTTTAATATCAGTTGTAGCACTAAATCTGAAATTGTGCCCGGTATATGGCAATAGACTCACCCCCTATTACATGGGACTCATAACATAAATAGTGAAAAGTGGGTGTTACATTGTACTTACAGTGGCATTAAATGCAGTAACGTGCACCTCTGCCTACCCCTTCAGGGACAAAAGGCGTGATGATGTTATTATAATCACCACCAATGACGGACGAGAATTGGAGCGAGCTTTCTTCGAAAGTTCGAATTGACATCTTGCAGAGTAGACTAGCTGAATAGACATTAATTTAATTGACGTGTTAAAGTGCTGCCTTGTAGCCTATTTTGCGGAAATAAATTCACTTGTTTCACTTATTAAACACAGTTCTACAAGACCGGAAAGATCAAGGGTTTACAAATATCAAAGGTTAATATAAAACCTTTAGAGGTATATTAAAAAGGTTGGAACAAATAAATCAAATAATATAATCGTCCCATGTTACAAAAGTACAATAGAAAAGTCGTTACGTTTCTCTCATTCTTACCGACTTCAAAAAAGGAAGAGGTAATGTTCGAAATATTATTTTTTTTTTGTATAAGGAACTATGTTTAACGATCTCCCGCCGGAAATACGTCGCGTTCCATATGTATCCGTTTTTTTTTTGTTTTAAATATCGAAGGTTACCTATTTGTAATTGGAATTGTGATTCGTTTTTCAAACAGTTTATAGAAAATGAGTGTATACGTGTTTAAAAATAGCTATAGAATAGTTTGAAGTCTTGAATCAATTCCTGATTTTTTTTTAATTGTGATCGTATTAGAAATTTTCAATACATTATTGAGTAAGTAGTTTGGAGTACAAAGAAGGATAGGTTTTTTTTTTTAATATTGTAGATTATTTCTCCACGGACTCTAGGTCCGTGCCCTTGTCATACAGTTTTTTAATGAGAAGGATAGGTTATTTATCATGGCAAACTGGGTACTTTTCTTAATCAAATATAAATAATTTCGACTGTTCAATACAATAAAATATTAAACAAAAATCACACTTTTAATGATGTATTTTTCCAGCAAATTTTTAAGGAATAAGTACTGTTTTGACTCTAAAAAACGTGACGTCACAATACACAATCTCGTACAGAATTCATTGAAAACTGTCGTTTTTGACAGTTTGAAAAAAGTAGATATTGAATTTGACTAGTTGGCAAGTACCGAATTACCCAAGTACCTTAATGCCATTGCATAATGTAACATTCACTTTTCACAATTTATGTTATGACTTCCATGTTATAGGGGGTGAGCCTATTGCCATATACCGGGCACAATTCTAGACTCAGTGCTACTACAGAGATTTTATTAAAACTCAGTAATACTTTGGTCGACTCGGGAATCGAACCCGATACCCCTTGCCCGGCAGTCGCATTTGCGACCACTCGGCCAACTGGGCATTCTAATGGCCTAATAAAAATACCACATACAGCGCTGCTTACACCACATGTCAAAATAAAATCTCCTATATTCCAAAACCATAACAGACGTCTAATTACTAACATTTGTTACATCTACACTTATTTCGACCCTCTACCACCATCTCTGCTGATACCCCTGCCATACAAGCGTGAAATTACGACGTACTTCAGTACAAACTAGAGATGGGCACTGGGAAAAAACCCAAAGGGAAAAAACCCAGGTTTTTTCCCATTTGGGAAAAAACCCGGTTTTTATGTGGGAAAAAACCCAATAGGCGGGTATTTTCATTTATAATAATCTTATTCTATTTTTATTTTCAGAACAAAATAAATAGGTACTTTGTGATGCGCGTGGTGATGCGCATACATTCACTCAAAAAAGTATCGGGAATGGATGATTTGTTTATGGTTCCAAATTCAAATTTTTGTTTTTAAGTAGTTGTTAGATTGGCACATGTGTTTTCCATTTTGGCGCGGAGTTTGAGTTGCATCTGTTATTTATATTAAATTATTAAATACAGCGCTGGTTTCAGAAATATCATATATAATGTATATTGTGAATTTCATAATGGACACAAATATCGATCAAAGAGTATGTCTTAAATTTTGCATCGCCAATGGAATTTCGTGTTCGGAGTCACTAAAAATGTTACAGAAAGCTTACGGTGAATCGACTTTATCAAAAACTCGTTATCATCTCATCGTTATGAGTGGTTCAAAGCGTTCAAAAACTTGGTGGAAGATTTGCCTCGCTCTGGTCTGCAACTGTAGTTAACATCGCAAAAGTGAAGGAAATAGTGACTGAAAATCCCCATTCAACTCTGAGAGAGATAGCCGCCGAACTTTCTGTATCTCACGAGTCGATCCGTACCATTTTAACTAATGTATACTATACATTAAAGGGTATGAAACATGTTGCTGCTCGACTAGTTCCAAAAGATCTAAATTTTCTCCAAAATCTCAATCGCATGAAAGTCGCTGAGGATATGCTAGAACGAGTCAGTTTGGACCCAACATTCATGAAACACATTGTTACTGGTGAAGAGAAGTGGGTTTATGAGTTTGGCATGCAAACTAGTCAACAAGCTTCGGAGTAGCGCCTTCCAACTGAACCGAAACCGAAAAAACCACGGCAAAGTCGATCAAAAGTCAAAGTCATGTTGACTGTTTTCTTTGACTATCGCGCTGTTGTGCACTCTGAATTCTTACCGGAAGGTCTAACGGTAAATAAAGAATATTATCTGAGCTTTATGCGGCGTTGAAGAGAGCAAATTCTACGAAAAAGGCCAGTTTTGTGGAAAGAAAATTCTTGGATTTTGCACCACGAGAAAGCGCCTTCGCACAAGGCTATCATTGGTGGCATCAAGGTGAACGAATTTTTGACCAAACACTCAACAAATACCATCCAGCAACCACCATATTCACCACATATGGCTCCTGCTGACTTTTTTCTTTTTCCTAAACTCAAATTACCACTTCGTGGCACCCGTTTTCAATCGATAGAAGACGTAAAGGAGAATTCGCGGCGAGAACTAAACTCAATTCTGGAAGCAGCGTTTAAAAAATGTTTTGATGAATAGATTATTCGTTGGCGCAAGTGTATCGTCTCTAAAGGAGCATACTTTAACTCGTTGAGTACCGTCATTACAGACAATTAAAGAACAATAGGTTGCGGTCACCGGTGACAGTTTAAACTGTCAAACACCGACCGCTCGGTGTTTGACAGTTTAAAGGTGATAAAATAAATTTGGATGAATAACAGACATTTTTGTATTATTGATCTTTTCCCGGTACTTTCTTGACAGAGTAGTACTTAGCACCAGCGTGTATAAGGCACTAGCTGTTGTCTGTTATTTGAAACGTTAAAATGTGTAGTCTATTTCAAGGACTAAAACATAACCAGCATATTTATTATAACACCATAAAGACGTCTTCTTGTTTTATAATAAGTTTTTACTGCGCTCTGTGATGGAATGTTAACAGCAGAAAAAATACCTATTAAACTTTAAAGAATGTTTGACTAAAATAATATAATTAAAACAACGAGAGATACTCTTACTAACAATCATTTATTATACTTTACAAAAGTTACAAAACTGTAAATTTACCGGTAAATTTCGTTCGTAAAAAAAGTAGGTATCA